TCTCTCTCCCTCTCCATCCATCGCTGAACTGCCCTTGCCTGCTGTAAAGTAAGCGACGCACTGTATATGAATGCAGTCCCTACTCGCAGTATGAGAACAGGCGGAATAACACACTCCAATATTTGCATTTTTTAGTCAAAATCGATACTATTTCATTGTTTTACGAGTTTTTGTAGAGTGATCAAAAATTAATTATAAACTTATGATATCAATGAAGTAAAATATACAGTAATATTAATAATAAACTCCTTGAATCTTGCGCCTCCGATCCAGGACTACAAATTCAAATAACATATTTTAAATTATATTAAGGCCGCCAAATTATCGGAGGCTTGACCGTCATAAGCTGGAAAGAAAAGGTAACAAACGAAATGCCAAACTAAAAGCATTGCTATTTAATGCTCTCAATGGCACCCAATTTTCCAAATGAAGAAAAAGACTAGCGGCAATTGTACTCGCGTTCTAGATGCATGTACATGCGCAATACGCAAATTGCATTTTTTTTTCGATCCGTCAAGTTCAACTTATTTGGAGTGCGTGTAAAGAAGCACAGTGCGTGTAAAGAAATAATTACACCTTTAAATTAACGAAGGAACACTGAGAAAGGTGACAAGACAAGACACGTTACAAGAGAAAAGTGAAAAAACTAAAAATATTAATCGAAAACAAAGTTGGCTACTCCCTCCCCTCTTCAGCAAGCAACCAAATATTTCATTCAGTATTCACCCTGTCTTAAGATGTATCACATACTGACGGTTTTAATAGTCATAGGAGAGTGATATCTAGAGCTAGAGCACAACTCCAAATTGCATTCTTGGCTGTCCGGGATGAGCCGCGTCTCGGTCAATTGTACTGACGTTTCGACCATCTTGCTGTGGCCTTCTTCATAGATATACTGCTGGAGCTATATAGCTCTGAAGAAGGCCACAGCAAGATAGTCGAAACGTCAGTACAATTGACCGAGACGTGGCTCATCCCGGACAGCCAAGAATGCATTGACTCCGGCCGCGGAAGCCTACGAAACCATACAACTCCAAATTGTCAGGTAAATATTTACAACTGAATATTTAATATAATAAATCTGAACTCCTGATATTCACAGACATGTCAGGACATAAATGTTTCTTTTCATATTTTTCCTATCCCTCTATTCCGGAAGTTCACTTTGGTCCTGCACCAGAGGCAAGGTTTCGGCACGTTCTCGATGGTGAATATTCTCGGAAGAAAAGGACGTCAGTTAACTCCGGAAAATAGCCGCGAGACAACGCGCAAGGCCGCTGGAATCCGTGCATATTTAATTCAATGTTATTCTCACGATAACCTAAATGTCACCGCCCACACCAAGGAGACCGTCTTCTGGTGCGCGAAATTCAAATGTGCGGCTGAACTTCACATTCGCCTGTGATGCACAAAATCTTCCGATAATGAGGCCCTATTCTACGCATCTCCAACCGCTTCCATGTACTTCAATGTTTGAACCTCATAAGTTTCCTGTACACACTCACATACTTCGAAATACAATGCAATCCATTCCATTGCAAATTAAATATACCTAGTGATGCTCAACAGCACATACTTTCTCGAATTATTTGTAACTTATGCAATTTTTTAAAATTCTGAGAGTTCAACCTGTGTCGTTTGTATAAGCGTACTTCACACTGAGTAAAATTTAACATTGACTGCGATCAAAATTACGCGAAACACATTTTGAAAAATTGAACATGATTTTATTTAAAGCTCTATTATTAACAGAAATTCATAGTTCAAAGACGACCAGAACTTCGCCATATTTATAAGCATACTTTGGTCTATTAGAGGGCGAAAATTTAAAGTCATTTTTGAAGAAAAAACAAAATGCAATTGAAAATGCTGGGACTTCCTGTAAATAAAGTGTATCCCAAAATAAAAATAGGTTATAAATTATTGAGGCCGCGACAGCCATATCGATCGGGGAATATCAATTTTGATAAAAATAAATAAATAATAATTAAAAAGATGGAAACGGTTCAGCGGCTAGGGTTGTGCCCATCGATATATTATTGTAAAGCAATTTTTTGAGTATCAAGATCCGACAAAACGTGGATTCTGTCTATACAACGCATTCTAAGAAGTTATTTATTACATAAAGGAGCAAGAATTATCCATTTTTTCGGTATTAGGGACCTACAATACGAGCTTTTATGTAGAAAATTCACCGTTTTCCGCTGCAGCAACACGTTTCTCTACTACGAAAGTACTATGCGAGGAAGTAAAAAGGAAATGAATAAATAATAATAAATTAAACAATAAAGCTAGCTTTATTCGATAGTCAAACCGCGAGGTAAGCTTTCGCCTAACCACTCGTTTTGTAAATTTCGATCATTTTATATTTCCTTCGGAGAAAATAAACTTCTCTCTCCCCGAGCGAGAATTGAGAATAATGACGATTGCCCAGACAAGTGCGAGCGCGCTCGGGAGTTCACGCGAAACGTACGAGAGGGAAGCGTTCTTCATTCGCATTAATTTTGTTTCGATTTTTCCAAAAATAATAAATGAGATACCTTTAATTTTGCTTTTTCATTTTTCCCAATATCGCTGATAGGAATCATGAGACATTCAATGTTTAATTATGTTTTCAAACTTTCAACGTAAGAGAAGTCGTAGTAAGGAAATAAACGAATCGTTTATATCATTATCACAGTAATAAATAGTGTCATAAATATGGGATGAAGTGAAAGGCAGAGAACCCATTAACGTACCCATGTAGCAATATTCGAAGAACTGAATAAAAAAACTAGATACACACTCAATGGATTTCAAGAGAATTTAGTGTTTATCGCGAAAATATGCGAATATCGCTTTGAAAGCACCGCAAAAAATGTACAAATTCGAATTCGCAGGAGAGGAGGGGGGCGCAGCCGCGATCTCGTTGCAGCGCGCGGCGGCCTTAACCCTGGCAGGCCTTGCGACGCCGCCGCCCGCACCGGGGCCGCGTCGTCACTGCTGCCTCCCAGTACCAGGGACCGCTGGGAGAGGGCGTGTTGCGGCAGGTCGCTGCCGCACCGGGCGGCCGGTCCGCCCCCGATCGCTGACAAGCGCGGTTTCTCTCCGCGGCGACAGAAATCGCACCAGTTCTTCCTCATCGACGCCATGAAGAGGGGGGGGGGGGGTCCTATAAGACTTGAATCGCTTGACAGCGCACGAGTGATCAGTCTACGTTGGAAAATCTGAAATGCGCGGATACCTGCTTGATACTCGTGGATAAAATGTGGCCGAGCTGAATCCGAGAATAAAAATTTACCTTGTCAAGAAATGTGAATTAAATGTTTATTTTAAAAGTCATCACACTACAGTAACTAACTACATTTCAAAGATGATGAACTAGCTGAACAATGTTTATTAAAGCCACCCTTTTAATGTACCTTACAATAATATTAAATTATACAAAATACAATTTACTGATTACGTATTAAGTAATTCTATACATTGTCTTAAAACATAATGTACTGAAAACAACAGAATTTATAAACAATCAATATAACTAGTAAAAAAATATAATCATTAATATTGTTTGTATTAATAACAAAAAAATTCAATCTTGTTTACATCAGTGTCCAGTGACTTTAGCACCACCTGTATTTGTGATTTATATGTATACAAACACAGACACACAGGTGAGAGTGTTGTGGTTGTTTTTGATTCTCCAAATGTGCCATAATCTGCAAACTTTATGCATTTCATCTTAAATCTGTACGATGCACCCGGGTTTTGTGTCCATGGTTTCTTATAGTCACAAAAAAACCATCACCTTTCCTTAGTTGTTCCTTTTCTGCTATATATAGAGGGGTTGTATGAAAGACTCCGGCACGGCAATATGGGGTTCCCATGGAAACCATCAATCACTGTGTTCAAAGAGGTATTATGTCTACCATTGATACACAGAAATTAGTTGTTTTATTAAATATCAAATCTGTATTTCATTTAGATGCAAGTGTTGATCATCAGCAAGAGCAGAGATGAAAATGTTTCTCTTCACATCTCTGGGTCTTGCCTCATTTATCTACTACCTACCGTCTTTTAAAGCGGAGAATGACAATGTAACATACATTGCTCTTCATTCTGTGCATCTAATCCAAATGATAATTAAAAAGCCTTGCTATCCCAAACACTTTTGAAAATATAACTATCCACTTTGTACATACAAGTGGGATGTAAATAAAAGTTCTATGAATAGTTTGTTTGAGTAACCAACTTTATGGCACTCGATTCAAGTGCTTACAGGTTCTGGTGATATCCAGTCATGCAATAATGGCAAAGCTGTTGAGCAGTGACTAATTTTTCAAAAATACAGGTACAGAAAAAGAATATAAGTTAACTACAAACAATCCATAAATGCAAAATGTATCAACTCTGGACACATGTTCCCATTCAGTCCTACAATGCACACCATTTAGTTCATGTCATACACTAGAAGCAAACACAATTAAATGTATTAAAAAGGACTTGATTAAATCAAAACCCTTTATTCTAAATTGTGCATCCGTAAAGAATGATTTCATGAGTTTAGGAGGTCATTGTACCTACTGAGAGAGAACATTACTACAGTTTCTCAGCCATGTAAAAAAGTGCATAAAATGATGAAGAAACAAAGGCCAGTAGAATATATTTTTCATTAACCCATTTGTATCTTTTGACGTCTCCCAGACATCATGACAAAAGAATGGCTTTACCGTCTTTTGACATCTCGAACACGCAAGTGTGTCCGATTCTGCTGACAGTACTAGAGTGTCTTGAAATTGAGTTCTACACAGAATGCACGTAGCATATTTCTATTTAGGGTATACTCCAGCGTGTATCCTGACATTGTAATTTGGTGATTTCAATCCTAGTCCTTCCATCACTTTTAAATCGAAGTACTTCAGAAAGCAGGTCTGAGGCATTTAATCTGGGGGGAAGGCTCATGCAATGGGGGAAAAAGCTGAGCCAATGGGTTAAGAAATTCACAATGGAAAATATTTTACCTGAGTATGTCTTCTCTTCTTTTATTTCTATTCTCATTCGAGGTGAGGGAGCTGATGACGTTGATGGAGTACTTAGCTTTCTTCTTTTACCCATTTCACTTTTCTACAATGAATCATACACACATTATGTGTTTTTAAAATGAAAACAATATTAATATTTAAACAATTTTTTTTCTTTTTTTTCAGAACAGTGTACTCTTGAAATTTAAAATGGATTAATAGAAGCTATAGAATTTCGGTAAGTGCATGGTAGTTGACAGGGTAGTTGTAAATTTCGTAAGTGCTCTCTGGTTTGCATGGTTTTAACAGAAAAAAATACTCATCATTCAAAAAGACAATGTCTAACTTAGCTTTAATGATCTTTCTGAATGAGGTTAGTTGCTCACTTTGCCTAAATTAGTTAAGTCCTACAAATCTCTATAATTCCTTGTGATTCGGTTTAAATTATTTTTATGTAATTGCAGGTAAATTAATACGGTGGGTGGCGCAAACAAAATAGCATATATAACATTATTTTAATAAAAATCGATCACTTCACGACAAATAAGAACTCATCACAAGAAATTAAACTACACTACGAATCACATTAAGTAAATAATCCTGAGATATTATGGGTTAATTACTCACCGTTTTGTTAAATAAAATGCCTTATCCAAACAAACACAAAACCGATCTGGAACAGAGATCACCATTCACTTATTTAAACATCCATAACTTGCACATAACCCCACATAACCCGCCACACGCCCCCGCCACTGTATATCATTGTTCCCAACTTCGCCGCTTACAAAGATTGAAGTTGGTAATATACAATTGGCGGTATCTATAATTGTAAATCGTGTTCAAACATTTTATAATTTAATCTAATATGATATTCATTCTTATCAGAGGAAAAACATTAGGAATGTTTATTTCTGAAAATCATTTCTCAAAAACTAATTTTAGCCGCATTCTACTGCCAGGGCCAACTGGCATATAACAAGTTCTTTAAAAGGCACTTTATAAACAGGAAATAATACTCCTTGTGTTTTTTACTTTCTCGCGCTTACGAAGGAACTGCTTAAGAAGACAAAGTTATGTAATGCTGCGCGAAAAGACGGATAGAAAACTCTTATTACAGACCCTTAGCAACGATAAAGTGGATAAGTCCAGATGCTAAATTTAGGGGATATAAGCCTCTAACACATGGTGTAGCCAGAATCCCTGTTTTGTGGGTCTTTGATACCGAAAAATTGATTGAGGCAAAACGTCTGTCCGTCTGTGAACAACGTTAGCGGCTAAACCGTTCATCCAATTTTCTCCAAAACTGATATTTCCCAGTCAATTTTATTGATGTTGTGGCTCCTTGAATTTGAAACCGATATTTTAATTTTGACGGATACTTTACATGAAGCCCCTGGAACTTAAAAAATGCCCCCATCGATTTTGATTAAATTGGATAATGGATTGTCTGGAGGGCATTTAAAAAAAATTGTAGAGGTCTTATGTTGGATAAAATCCCAAATTTTCGACAACTGAAAAAAATCTAACTATTTTTGGCATCTTCCTACAACTACAATGATGAAGATTTTGTTTTCTTTTCTTAATGAAATGTGTTCATGAAAAACAGATTTCCAAATAAGGTCATGTTGAATTTTACGAAACTATGAGTATTTTTCGTGTAATTAGACATCAAATTAGTCACCTGCTCTGAAAATACTACGATTCTTTATCATAATTGTAGTGGTGTGTGTGTTGTTGTTTTTTTAATTTTATTATTTAAATTTGTTTATTTTTTTACTGTTGGATGCTAACTTAGATTGTGTATCTTTTAGAATTATTTATAATTTATTTGAAATAAAGACTGTTAATCTTCAGTTGCCAATTTACGCAGTTGGATGTATGCAGTAAGTAGTATATTATTTCATATTATTTATTATATTTCTGTTATTTCATTTTAAATTGGGTCCTTTAATTGTGTTAAATGTTAAAACAAATAGATGAATGGTCAATGTTGATTGTTGTTACCCATTGTTGTAACACTGCAGAGATAACACGATAATGACGGCCGCTTTTTATTTGCAGTAATAAAAACGAATACTTTTATATATTTGTAGAATATTACAATACCATAGTGTTTGATATTACTATTATATATTTTTCAATTTATTTGTTTTCTAATGCTATCAGTATTGTATTATTTATTAACTTCTAAATATTTTATTTTCTTGGATTCTGCTTATTTTTTGCACCAAATGTTCTATGATTTCAAATGAGTTTTGCAAAAAATAACTCAGAGAGATATTGTGGTATAAGCAGTATTACATAACCATTTCTAATTGTGAGAAAGCACCACTATAGTCTCTCAATAATTACCAAGAAAATGAAACCAGTTAACAAATATATCACAAAAAAATAAGACACAATGGGTCCATCTGTTAAACGATTATAATAATGTGTGTTGCAAAGATGTCTGAATGCACGCATCCGTCCACGTGTGTATGTTTTGTAACTCACATGAAATCTGAAGGGCATTTTCAAACTTTTCTCAAAATTGGCTCCAAATATTTTCTTGTTTTTGTTTCCTACTAGAATAGAGCACATGTATGCCTATGTTTGTTTAGTAAGATCTGACATGGTCCAGCTTTTTATATATGGTCAAATTTTCATTTAACCTATGAAATTTCAAAAATGAAAAATTGTATTTCCCAAGCTTTCCTGACAAAGTAGAAAGATACAAGTTGCATAATTAAAATATTACCTAAACATTACAAATAATACAAGAAAAGATGAGCTGTTGAAGCACCACTCTATTTAATATATTGAGACCTATTCTTGTTTCCTTTATAAAAAAGACAATAATTTCTACAATTTCAATAAAAAACAAACTAGCACCTTCAAAGATCAGCAGGGACTAGGAATGCCACACATATCACATACATAGATTCCTGTATCTAAACAAAAAAGCATTACTGACCAATTAAAATAATTCCATTTTCAGAAATGTCCAAGCTCAGCTCCCATATTCTCTGTGGTCTGAAGAAAAACCAGCCTCCCACTTATGATGAAGAAGGAAAAGAAGTAAAAAATCAATTACCTAGTCCTAACAGAGACATTGCCAGTGCAGAGCCAAGACTCTCGACACAAGTAATTGGAATATCCTCTTCTTCTGTATTTTTCACAAATGTTCAAATTCAGTCAATAGCTTTAACCAGTAGTCAAACCATAATGATATGATTTCCTGGTAATGAGTTAAACTTTTTTAGGTTTGTTTTCTCTGTTTTTCCTTTTTTAAAGCATTAAAACCATGAAAATATAAAATTTTGTCACAATTTTCTTTGGAAACCAAAATTGAAATTAAATGAAATTAATTTGAAAAAAGTTTCATACCTTTAATTATCTTAGCTTTATTAATTATACTTTGTTTGGATTTTCAATTCTAATAAAATACATTTTACATGCTTTGTCATTTATATAATATCTAATATGTATTTACATTGTACTTGCAATGTAAACGTGTATTTTTACACACATAATGTAATACATTTACATAATTTGTAATTTATCCCCATAGGTCCTAGCTGCTTGCCTGGCATGTTGGATAAATTTAGCTAGTGGTGCATGCCTAGGTTATGCCACTCCAGCATTACCTAAGCTTCAGAAAGGCACATCATATCTTCAAATCACAGAACAAGAAGGATCATGGATGGCTAGTCTTCTTATGCTTGGTGCATTAGCTGGAGGGTTCCTGGCAGGTCCATGCATTTCCCTAGGCCGACGGAGAGCATTATGGTTAACATCAATCCCCACCATAGTATCCTGGATTCTTATAGCGATGGCTACGAATTCATGGTTTCTATTTGGTGCACATATAATGATGGGAATATGCCTTGGTATAACAACAGATGCTTCCCAACTGTATGTAAGCGAAACAGCATATACCAAATGGAGAGGAGCATTAGGTTGCATTCCCATACTTATGTTCAACGTTGGAATTCTCACCTGCTATACAGCAGGAGCATGGTTGAACTGGGATGAACTCGCTATATTTGGCTGTGTACTCTCATTACCAGCATTATTCTTCCCAATTATGTTACCTGAGACACCAAGTTACCTAGTGGCTCGGGGATGCAGTGATGATGCACTTCGAGCACTCAAATGGTTACGTGGATCTGATTATGATGTGACAGCAGAATATGAGGTATGTTAGAAAGTTATTAAATGATTTTCAACGAATATATAAATCAAATTATTATTCTATTTTATTGTCTTTAGGAATTGCAACATTGTGAGAAAGGACCTGGACTACTTGAACGAATCAAGGGTCTAAGAGAGAGGGATATTTTGCGACCTTTGCTGTTAATTAGTGCTATTAGGGCACTAAGTCGTTTTTGTGGTTTACGTGCTATTCTCTGTTACACTCAATCAATTTTCATCAGCTCACAGTCAAGCCTAGATGTTGAATTATCAGTAGTTGCAACAGGTGTGGTACAACTGCTTGCAACATTGGTAGCATGTGGTTTACTTGACAGATTAGGAAGAAGAAAACTCCTCATCGGATCTCAGGTAATTATATAAACTGGAATTACACTTTTATTTCATTTTAAAACAAATGCTCTTCTGGTCCTTGTATTTTTAGTTAAATTTATTTCCTTTCACAGGCTGTAATGGGAATGTGTTTAATTGGTCTTGGTTGCTACTTGTACTACAGCAATGATGTGGATAATCGAAATGGTTCTCTGATGGGATGGCTACCAGTCATAGCAATTTTGATATATATAATAGCAAATTCAATCGGTTTGGGACCGGTGTCTGGAATAATCATTGGAGAGCTTGTTCCTCAACGTCACAAAAGCATTGTGAGCTCCATAACTGGGTCAGTGAGCTGGCTAAGTGCCTTCATCATTACAAAAACATTTCTTGATCTACGATCTTGCCTTCATCTCCATGGAGCTATTTGGGCCTACGGTAGTGTGTGTATAGTTGGTGTAATATTTGTTTATATTTTCCTACCTGAAACAAGAGGTCTATCGCAATATGAAATTGAAGTGCTTTTCAAAGAAAAGATGGATAGCATTGATGAACCATTAGAAACACGCAAAATAGAAACTTTGTCTGATATTGTAGTTGTGCAGCATGAACAGCAAACACACCCCAGCATTAAAAATGCAATTAAAGTGAATGGTATTTAATGAGCACAAAGTGCTCTCTAGGAACTTACAAAAACTTGAGCAGTGTTATTTATCCTTGTGATAAAATTAGTACAATATTATTTATTATGTTGTGGTTGGTTTCAAAGAGGTTGTATGTTTGTTTGTTTGTTGTTGTTTTTAAGAAGAATCAAAATGAGGTAAATAATGATGAAACTCAACAATAACAACGCAATGTTCAGTAGGAATTCTTATTGAACCATTCAAAGATGAAAGTCATGTTCAAAAATAAAATTTCTTTACTCATCAAAATCATTTGTTTAAATTCTATTAGACAAATTCAAGGAAAGAATGCAAATTATTCTTTGCTTTCAATACAAATACCAATTACAGAAATACAGAGTTCAAGTTCAAAATTATGAAGAGTATGCCTCTTCAATTAAATTTACGTATTGTTTCTAAAATATAGTAATTAATTTGTGTTCCTGAGAGCCTTGTAAAAGAACATGGACTGCTTTATACCCAAATAACTAGTATAATCACAACAAACAGAAATTAAGAGAAACCTTACCACCAGTTTTCATCCACAATGCTCTTAATAATCATTATCTGAAATAAAAATTAAAAAGCGTATTAAATAAAATTAATAATATAGGTTCTGCTTATAGTCAGTTTTCTGTAATTGGTTGCATTTACAAGTCTGATTTTACATAATGCTCTCAACAAAAAAACAAATCCTGAGGCATCTAAGAGGAACACTACCAAAGCTTTGAAACAAATCCTGTACTCATGATTGAGTTAGGAATATTTTTTATTATCAAAGGCATTTGATGTCATACAATAAATTCAAATTCAGAAACCATTTTTTACAATAGAAAAGGTGTTTGGCAGATGCTCTAAATAAGAAATAATTATTTTGAAATTCCACTTTAAAGATGTATTTCATTGCTTTAAAAACAAAAAGTTTGAGAAAATGTCTTCCCTTGAATAACACAAAATTGTATCCTCAATATACAATGTGAAGCTTTAAAAATACAATATTATCATTAAGCTAAATCTAGTGGCTCTATTCATGGTACATATGTGTTGTAATTTCACAAATTTCAAACCAGCCAATTGTTTACAATTTCAGGTCAAATTGATTCAATGAAATAGAGAAAACAATATATCAATGCAGAAAGTTAAAAAAATTATCTTCTCAAAAACACAAATTTGATTTCACAGGTACATTATTCCCTTTTCAAGTTTTATGCAAATTACGTTTTGAAATAGTGTGAAATATTATGATCTCACTTATTTCCGTTTTCAAAACATAAGTATTTCTTCTTTAATGCAGCCTTCATTAACACAACAGATTCTTGTTTAGAGAAAATAATTTTCCTCGGCATAAAAAAATAAGCTAATTTCTCATTGAAAAAACATCTAATGTGCAAAGTTCTACTAAAGAAATTATAAGCAAAAGGTAGAATTATAACTTCTTAATAATGACATAAAATAGATGCTTTTGTTTCAAGCTATAATGGAAACAAGAAAGATGAATATGAGAGAAACAAATTTGATGTGAACCTCATAATGAAATAAGTATTGCAACAAGACAAATTAGCAGAGTGGTGCTGAAGCGAGGTCAATTTCATTTTGATGTTGTATCAATTGTCTATCATTCAATATTTTATCTATGATGGCCATGGAGTAATTTTTTTAATTAATTTTATACATTGATTAACAGCTACACATTGAAAGTGCTAGTTTTGATGTAAGCAGCTTTTATTTGTTTTATTGATTCTAAATGAGAACACTATTTAGCTGTTAGGGCACATCTTAGATAAAATATTTTAGATCAAAATAATTCAATTAAGATGTTTTTTAAATACTCAGAGTATCTAGGATCTTCAGGTTTCATCACATGAAGAATAAACAATTTTTGGACTATGAACTTGGGAAGCCACTATGAAAGCCATGCTTGGAGTGAGTTAAATGTGATAATGTGATTGACAGTTATAATGTGATTGTCCAATTTATAACACTTATTCAGATGTTTCCCTTAATTAGTGAGAATTAGGTAGTGGAAGAAATTATTCAGTTAATTTTAATCATTTATTGTAAAACAATGAGTCCAACAATATTGCTCTTCATTGTCAGGCTGCAATATATAGTACTGTACATATTAAACATTTTATATTTAATTTTACATTTTAATTTTAGACTATTTATTTGAACTATTTTAAAACAGTAATGAGTTCCCTTGAGGCAGAGAGTCCCTTCCATTCTTATCCTCCCTCCCGAAAATGTATCCTCCTTCCTCCCTCTCCCTTTGGCCGATACTCTTGAGACATGACTGCTAGAGGCATTAATCTGTACAATGACCACAGATGGATCATGTTGCAGATAATGCTGCCTTTCAGGTTCATAGAATAATACTTTATTCTAAAATAATTTATATAAAAAAGTGGGCCAACAACATTTGTGCTCTTTGCAAGGGTCCATTTTTTTCTCATTTTAATTGTTTTTATATACTTTCACAATTTGTTATTTTTCATTGTTTAATGGTTTTTAATGAAATTAAATTTTATTATTGATTTTACAATTTTTAGTGTGTATGATTATGATTATGAAGAGCAACTTTCTTTGAAATGTCATTTTACAATAAATGATTAAAACAGACTGGATAACCTCACCTTCTACTACTTGATAGTCCTTAATTAAATGAATACACCAGAATAAAATATTTGATCCCTGTGAATAAGCTGGTAACTCAAAAACCTAAATTTTACTTGAGAGCACCAAATCTGGCTTTATTGAGATAATCAGACAATTGAACTTATCTTCTTAGGGTCTTTGATTTCACAAAATTTATTTCATATTCAGAAATCTATCTGCATCCATTTCTCAGCAAACAGAATGAATTTAACTTATCTGATTATTCACAAATGTAAAGAAATATCATAATCCAGACGTATATTTCATTTTCAGCAAAAGGCTGATGTATCAGTTTATTTACCAGGGTTCAAGAAATATAAATGAGCAAAAATTAACAAGAGAAATGTTCTTCCTAATGAAAGTTAACGAACTTCAGCAGAGTCAAAAAATGCTAAGCAGAAATAATCATCACCTTTTCTAACATTCCATTTAATATTTAAAGCTATGTATTGCTTTGTAATAGATGATCCAGAGAAGTTAATTTCCTTATAAAAATCATTAGTGTAAATTTTTAATGTAGTTATCCCTATTTCTAGTCAAAATGTATACTTAAATATTTTGAAGAAAATAAATTGTATATTATGAATTTTTGTTTATGGTGTGGATTTGGGAAAGTATCACATTACTCTCCAGGTACCAATGCTTTTCATATAAACGTATGAAACTATTTGCTTAAGTATTACAATAATACATAATAGAGTTTTATTCTTAACAACAACCACCCTTACAACCCACTCTAACCCATTTAACACTCGTAATGAATTTTCAACTCATACATTCCAAAACACATTCACATTTAGAAGAAACTTCTTTATTTTTTACTAATTATTACAATTTTTCACTTGCTTAATATACTTTGATGTAAATTTTTACATGTCCTTTCTTTATTTCATTGAACGCATAATGCTGAAAAGGGGATCTTAAAAATCTTTGAGATTCAAAACAATACCTCCATTCAAATTGTTCTCACAATAATTTCCACTTTCTGAACCGTTTTTCATCTGCTTCTTCTGATTTACCAACTTTCTCATTTTGTATTTCTGTTTTGAACAGGACTTCATTAGGTTTCAGTGGGAATTGTACCCTTTTCAATAAGGCTGCTTCAACTGTTTATTAATCAAATATTAAATATAAGCAGTGAATTTATCAGAAAAATAACAATCAATATCCAACATATTTTGATAAATTTGTAAGTTTTTATTCAAGACAAAAAAATAAATTTTGTAAAAATTGAGAAAGAAAGCATCATCTTTGCAAAATTCATTTCTGACCATAGTGGATTTAGTAACTGCATAGTGCAAGGGTCCTAACCCATTTAACACTCAGAATGAATTTTCAACTCATACATTCCAAAACACATTCACATTTAGAAGACAAAGGTCCTAATATGCATACAACAATAAAAATTGAAGAACCAATTTGTGTACTATTCCAAACAAACAAAAATATGAAATGTCAAAACAAAAACGAGTTTATTTCCCTATAGAAATCACTAACATCATAGGGTCCCCAAACATAAAATTCGTAAAACATACAAATGTTAACAGCAATAAACCAATCCTAGCTCTATCTTTAAGCTTCAGCTTCAAGGCTGCAAGATTTCCCACCTTCTACGTATCCTCCATATGTCATGGCTTGAGATTGAAAAAGCCAGTCACATTCAAAAACATCATTCAGCAAGAAAACAACATAAAAAGATACAATGAGAAAGGAAGAAAAATAGGATCCCAGAACCACTCAGTCAGCAACAAGAACTGAATAATCTCAATTCCTTAAGTTGAGAATGCCGAAAATAGTTTCTGTAAGAGAAAATAATAATAATATTTATTCACGAATTTTGTGTACCAATTCCAATTTTATTTTTCTGTGTGAAAGCAGGGCTTCCTTTGTGATTCAAGGAAGCTTACAATACTGTTTTAGATCTATTTCATAGATTTCATTAGCAAATTAAAAATATACAGCAAATAACTGACTTTGATACCATTTATACAGCCAAATCTTTCTTGTTCAAAATATATAAATACAACATAAGCTGCACAAGGGAAGATCAAGATAAACCTATATTCATAATAGAAAACAGTGATTTTTAAGAGTGGAAGAGCAAGTCCAATGTAACAAATGCAGCACACTTTGTATGTTTGTACCAAGTTTATCAGTACAATTTCAAGCAAATTATGCTAAGTACAGGGTGCTGCACTATCTTAAGACAAGGTGAAAAAAGGAACATTTAATACTACCATCATTAGTATTCTTTCTTGCAGTGTATTGAGAAATAAGAAATGAAATGATGGCTCACTCAACAAACACCCTGTACTTTCATTCACAATATTTCTATACATATTTTACATAGTATAAATAGTAGAAGAGTATGATAGAATACCTTAAATATAATTGTTTCAATACAGAATAAAACATCTTACACACATGTAGTAAAAGCAGGTCAAATTAGAGTATTGGACCATTTAATTGATCAATGACAATTTTTTCCATCACTCTTCCAACTGTAACAATCAGTGTTCACATCTAAAGAACAATACCCATCTCTCAATTAAGTCCCATTTGTGGCTACTATTGGCTGATTCAAGTTAATTTAATTGCACATATTGAAAATGGTTTGTTTTATTACAAACATACATTCACTGGTAACTTTTCATCTAACATTTAACCAGCAATGGCACAACTGGGCTTTAATAAACTTAACTTTGCACAGACTCCCTCAAAGCAAGGAACATGAAGTACATCTCACATATCACAAGGCAACAGATTGTGTATAACTGTGTCAGGAGAAAGAATGTCACGTCATTTCTCTTGCAATGACAACTGCAACACTTGTTCCAACATTTCCTCCTCTTGCCTCCGCTGGCGTTCTTCTTCTTCTCTTTCTCGTTGGGATAATGCTAATGCCATTTGCAGGTCTAAGTCAGGCACTAGTTGGTTATCAGGAGATTGTGAGTCTAGAGCTTCAGGACTAGTGCAACATGAGGAGTCATTATCAGGACTAGAAGCACTTAAGTTGTGCTGGTAAAGGGCTAGGCTGGCTTGAATTGCCCTACAATACACAAGCAAATAACCACATTGTAGGATGTATTACAAGCACAGCAGATTATAGATACACTTATATACTGTATACTTCTCAACCAACATGACATGTCTAATTTAGATAGACAAAAAAAAAGAAAAAAGTAAGTTTCAGAGGTTTTTAATAAACCTTTATGTCCATATTACCTATAAATTAATTATTTCCTCAACTTGTGTTGCTGTTGTTGTAGTTGTTTTCAATTTATCATTTGCATTATTTTGAAGTGGGATATTAATGAACGGTCATAATTATTTTATATTTTCTACTACATATTTTTATTCAATATATTTTAGACATCAGTATTAAAAGCAAAGAATTCAAATTCACAAATAACCACAGCAGGATCACTTCATTTTCTTTCAACTATGGACAATCACAAACAAGAGAAGACTTGAGTAAATTTAAGTGAACAAATACAACACATTTCAGGTTTGTGGTCTTGCTTTAGATCTTACTTATACTTTTGAGTTTCTACTCATTACTTTTCATGAATAGAAGTACCAAACCAACATAATATTTTAAAATTCATTTCATGACCATGATCATGATCATAACACATCAAGAAGGTTGAGAAACATTTGTTTACTCTACAAAGCATTTCAGTAATGTAAATCACAACTTTATTCTCAGAAAGCTATATGATATCACAGCTAGCCGTGTACTTTCCAAAGGATATAGATATACAATAGAATTTTCTGAATAATAGAAAAGAAATTCAACTGAAAAATTTCATTACAGATAATGAAAAGCATATTGAAACTATTTCTACATACTGCAGCTTGATGATGATGATGATGATGATGATGATGATGGATAATAATAATAACAACAATAAATTATTCACTATTCACCACCACAAAATGAGATTAGATGATTTTGTTTTTAACAATACACAAACACTTGAAATTGTTTCAAAATTGTTTATACAAAATTGGTGGTTGGGTTGCTGTGGCCCAAAATTAATTTCATTTATATATTAATAAATTTCAAATTATGGTCAAATAATAGGTCTTGCAATTTCAGTAAGCAAAAAATCTTTTAAAGAAATAAGAAAGCTAACTTTAGAACACTACCTAACCAAATGACTGTAAACTTAGCAACAAAAGTAAGCCAATGGCTTTTGGTGCAAACTATTTTTACTCACTGACACAACAACAACTAGCATTCCTTTAACACCTTCCAAAAACGTTTGCATTTAAAACTCTAGCACCTTAAATAATGAATAGGTTGCATATAATTATCTTGAAAATTATTTTTTTTTGATGCAAAAGGTTGCTTCTCGATACTTAGCCACCATTTCATACTTCTAATGGGTTCTAACAAAACAAAGCAATTTAAAAAATGTTCTACAAAATACTTTTCTTTACAGGCAATCAAAAGTTTGTTTTAATACTCAGGACAATAGTTCAATTTTGAATGTACAAATAATAATGAAATGAGAGTAAAATGCTCAAACATTGAGTAGGGAAAAAAAGAAAGAATAATCTACGAGGTTCTAATAAATGAAACTCAAAGCATAAAAAGCCTAAAAAACCTCTACAATTAAAACCATAATACTATAAAGCACTACAAAATATACTATTTCTTGAATGCACTAAAATGGTTGGGAGACAAAAATGTGCAGCCTTTAAAGTCACTGCTGTTAAAAAATGGTAAAATGCATGCTCAATATGTAAAAATTATTAATCATATATATATATATATACATATATATCATTTAAAACATTAAAACTCGTACCTTTGGAGCTGCCTTTCCTCCTCTGCATGAATATTGGGAGTGTTTGGCCGGGATGGTCTTTGGGCTCGTAAAGCTTCCCAAATATCCACCTGCAATCCCAAAAATCACAAAAATATCCAGTGTAATCATTTAATGATACCAAAACAATTTAGTAAGTAACTTATTCCATCAATTATTTTATTGCTCAACATAAAAAGAATGTTTAAGATCTAAAAGTTTCTTGTTAAGTCTTCTCTATATGTAACACTCTAAGGAAAGATAACGGTTCTGTGAGATTTACAAGACTATCGAAACAAACACATGTGCTACTGGTCATTAGGAAATTGCCTCCCAGAAGAGCATCCAATTGCTTTAAGATGGGAAAAAATTAGAATTTTTTAGATACTGCTATACAAAAGACAGTGCACACACAATCCACAAAACATGTTATACTGCAATTCAATTGTAAATAACTTGAAAACAATGAATCGCAAGACATGCAATTCAAGCTTTCTTTCCCTCTAGAGTCTCATTTACGTTTCTTAATCTACAACATGAGGCCTCTTTGCACCTCATACACCACTCCTTTCCACAGGTGATCAGAAACGTACAGAATCTCAAAATCTGAGTAAAAATAAATTATCAATTATGTTCAATTTAATTACAAGTCCTTCTATTGAATTAATGCTTAGTGTTCACATGCAAAACATAGTCCATTCAACCTCACAAAATGGTTCAAAGTGGAATGAGGTTCTCTGCATGCGGATACTGTTCTTCTGCACGGGTGGAACAATGTGCCTAGCATGCTAGAGATAGACTATGCTTGAGATTTCTTATGTGAATTAAGAAACATTTTAAATCTCCTTTCACAGCCTTCCAAACAATTAAGCTTTACGTTGAAATGCATGTACATAGTAACATCAATAGACTACTTAATATACAAATTAAAATTTTCTACTCAGGTTGAAAATGTCCCCCTCTAACAAGGAGGATTTGTGTAGCTCTGAAATTGTATATCTTTTGTATGAAAATTTATGATGTATACTGAGGTGGATGTTTCTTTCCTAAAATTCTCCCTTAATCATGATGAATTATGATATTTCTGTAATTTTTTGTATCAATCTTTAGCAGAAAACAATAAACATTTTGAGAATTAACATGATTTGCACAGCACATGTCAACAATTTAGAACAACGCTCATTCAAAATAAAAACGTTTAGAGAAAGTGATTGTTGCAAATCTTGGTGCAATACATGAGAAAATACTGTATCATTAATAATTTCTAGTAAAGGATTCATTTAGGCATTTTCCCCCTCTGGAATTCCATGTAGTTGTGGGAAAAATTGTCCCGCTTTAGCAGGTTAAGGCACAGAAAAGTTCTCCATGATGAAGGGTAAAAATGATGATTTGGACAGTCCTTTGCACAGATTCAACTGATCTTCACATCAAACAAAAACAGGACAAATTTTTATTATTCTCCAGTTTATGAAAGAGCTGCATAGCAAGGATCTTGTAGCTTTCCCTGCACAGTATGACTGGGCCCCTGAGGTTAGCAAGGAAGGGTCTAGTACCCCTACAGTTAGCAATTCTTAATTGTGTACTTCTTTCAAAACAAAAACCTGACTTACACAATACATACAATATTTTGAATTTTGTGAAGAGAAATTATTAAGGCTTTGACACAAACCTCATCACGTTCACTTCCAGCTTCAATGAGGCTCTGCTGTATAGCAAATTGAAGAAGCTCATCTTCTTCCTCAATACTGAACTGCCTTCGAACATCAGCACCTGAAATTCAAATTTTAAATTGAACATCACATTGAAAGAAAAAAAAGTTTTGATATATATGGAAAATCTTTACAATTTTTTCATTCTTCATTCAGTCAAACTTTTACTAATACTATCTGTTTGTGAAAAATCAATTTTTTGGTGTCAAGGTCAACACTTTCTGAAAACACAACATATTAGAGGAAATTAAAAAATATCCATTTCTGAAATATCAGGTACATAAAAATTGAGTGTTTTTCTACAAGAACCTCGGTTTTTCACTGTCTACACACTCAGTAGTAGCATGCAAGTAAAAATAAAAAAAAGCAAGAATACAATGATCAATACGCAAATAGAAGAAGGTATGAAAACCAAGACAAGATGTTCATCTTCCAGGTATCACCCCCCCCCCCGGAGCACTATCATAGCTATGTTGTGGCACGTCTATGCAATCCAAGCAAGGAAAGACAGGTCAGGTTTTTGTAATTCCTAGTACCACAGGACCAACGTCCAAAGACAAGTCTTCAAAAGTTTCATTAATTTGTCCCTGATAGTTGGATCATAAAGATCTTATTTATGATAGATATTTTGTTTTTGCAGTTTGTGTAACATAGATTGGAATAAAACTGCTTTAATTCCTACTCTCAACAATAGTCAAACTGGAATGCAAAAGAAAATCTTTTACAGAACAAGTGTCAAAATACATTACGTCGTAGTAAAAATTTGTGCTGCTAAGGGAGCCTTTGGGGGCAAAATAACATGCAAAGGAAGAGCATAAAAAGAATCCTGGATATGGTATAATGCGTCGAGTGGTATAAGTTTTGATAAGGGAGGATGGAGAGTTGCAGAAGTGGGCATGAGGAATCTGACTAAATTTAATTTTGCTCCTTTAACATCTTTTTCAGTGGAAAGGTCCTTTTCAGCTTTCAATATGGTTTTAACAGATAAAAGACATGACATGTAGAAAATTTGGAAAACATTTTGATTTTATACTGTGCTGCTAATTATGAAAGTGAAAATAATATGCTTGTAGTTAATCTTATAAAGGTAAAAATACTTGACGTTCCTGAATTATCAAAAACGTGCCTAATTTAACCATTTTGTTATCAGTTTTATATGTTAGAAACAACTTCTCAAGTCTAATGTTTTTAAAAGCTCAGTTTAAACATTTTATACCCTATTTTAAGTACCTAAAACAACACTTTTTATGCCCAATTTCATAAATTTCTTACCTATTTTAGGTGCCTAAATCATTACTTTTTGTTCCTAAAATTCTGAGTTCTAGTTATTAGGCAGACCAGGATAAGATGAACTAAAATAAAATTATGAACAAGGGGCAAGAAATGAAAATAATTAGGGAAGGGAATCTACACTCCAAATTATTGAATTAAACACATACAACTTAAAATGAAGTATCAATATAAAAAGCAATAGAACAAGAATTTTACAATTAAGAAAACAATTACTGAACAGTTTTTAAATGATATTTGCTTCTTATTATGTTCTGCATTCATTCTTACCTAATTTAGTGTAAGTAATTGGAGGTATAAAACAGCTATCATCAACTATACAACTTAACCTCTCATCTTCTGAAATTCTTGTTACTCCAGGAATATCTTCATCCAACCCAAAAATATTTCCAAATGTAATTCTTGCATTTAAAACATGAAATAAAGGAATTTCTGAAAAACATTGAAAGGTAGAAAAAAGAATATATATATATACAACAAAAAGGAGCATTATATTTCCATTTTCCATTACCTATTTTAACAGGAAATCCAGCAGGAAGCTGCATCTGTATGAAGTCTTTAAGTTTTGCAAAGTGAGAACTTGAAATAGCCATCAAATCTACAATTGGCATAATTTGTTCTTGCAAACTTAGAGGATAATTTTCACAAAGCCATAATGTGGCCTGCAACAAAAAAAAATTGATTTGATATCTATTACAAAAATTAGATAACACATAGAATCAACAACAACAACTAATGCCTCTGACATTTCACAATCACCATCCTCCATTTAAGAAAGATTTCACAAAATGGCTGTGTGTAAATAAAACATTCAAGCAATAAAAAAGAAAAGCAAATTCCCTTCAAAGTTGAAGAAAACCTCAATAAATTCAATCTGATTTCTTTACAACAATTACAAAATAAAAACTTGTAAACAATGATAGTGACTTCTTTTATTCATATTTTAACTTAATTGAAAACAGTTTTTTTTACTCCAGAACAATGGCACAACCAGAGAGGGGGTGTCTTCAGCCCTTTCAGAAGCCAATGCTAACAAATAAGAAATAACAGCATATCTCAACCAAAGTTTGTTTTATGAGAAAAACTACTATTTCTGTTTTCATGTTCATTTTCTTGCCAGACATGGTGGAATTTGAGGATTTTGCTATATTCCAATTCATTTGATATTTTAGCATATGATAGGTATATAGCCGGAGTTTATTGTCATACTTCTAACTGAAAATGCAAGGTCAGTTTGGATCTGCCATTATTTTCCTGAGCACCTCAAAATATTCTAGTTTGTGAAGAAATGAAAATTTAGGAATGCTTTTATTAATTAGAACATTCATAAACATTCTAGTTTTTATTATTTTTTTATAGTAACAAAAGTATCTCAATTGAAAAAATTTTAAATAACTAAAATCAACAAATAAAAATTTATTTTAAATTCAAAATAAATAACCTTTTTTCTTACTACAAAATATCAAGCCAGCAATCTACACCCCCCCCCCATAGGAGCAAAATTCAGATTACACCACTTTTCTAGAGGTTAGATATTTTCATTTAAATGACAATCACACAAGCACTAATAACCGGGGTAAGCCAGATTCAGCAAATGAACCACATGTATTTGTTTATCAACCATGCCTCTACACTCCCAAACCTGACAAAAAATCCATACAAGACTCATAGCATATTCAAACGCACAAAGTTAATTTTATTTAATTCATTTGTTTTTGTAAAGCTTAGAACTTTTTCTATTAATGAGAGTGCTCAAAATAAGTTTCAGCAATATCACAATGGAAATGTACTAAAACTGAAGCACACAATAATTTTTTTAAAGAACTAGTTTCCATTTCAAATATCAATGTTATATTTTCCCGAGCTTATGTACATGAAAGTCTCCCAATGATTACCACTTAGGTACATAAAAGTTTCCTATTCAAAATACCTTAAACTTCTGAATTTTGGTATTAATTTCTTTTGGACGACCGATGTCTCTTCCTCTCAAATCAGTTTCTTCATCAAAATATTCCTCTGGAGTTATATTACAGGGATTTCCCACGTGACAATATTCTTCCTGAAACATTAGGGCATGTTCTAAATAAAAAATGACTTACCAGGAAAAAAATGGTATTTTCAATGAAAAAAAGAAATTTACATTGTTTGTCTCAGGCAGTGCTTGTTTCTCTTCTATTTCAGCAATACCAAGAAAAGACTGAAGAGGACTTCGAGGTGCTTTTGCTTTAACTTTATCAGTTTCTGTAAGATGTTCTGTTCTAGTTTTTGTAACAAGCTCTACATTGCTTGCTCCAAAAACCTTGCATTCATGGCCATTAATTGCTTCAGTTTTATCTGATCTCCAGCCCCAAATACCTGTTTTATTCCTAAATAATTCCATAAAATTAAAAATAAATACAACAAACACACTCAGAATAACTTAAGTGTACTGATATTGTAACTTAAAAGTCTGATACTGCAAATGTGTTCAGATTTTTTCTCTCTTATAAAAACCTGTTTGTCTGCCTGATCATCAGTGAGCAATACTTGCTCCTAAACTGAACAGAGGATATATTTTCAAAGAGTATTTTGTTATTAATCTGCATCAACTTCAGACCATATGAATTTGACAGACAACTTAATTTTGGAAGTACTTTATATAAAAAGGTTCACTTTGCATAAGCAAATTTTTCAAAATTGCTCCACACTTTCCTTTTAATTTCTTACTCAAGTAAAGGTAAGTGCTCTTTGTATTGTGGTAAAAAACCCATTTTAATTATTTTTTAAAGGACAAAAGTTCACGTTTTCTACAAACCTCTTATGCATTTTGGAAGTTAAAAGATCTTCCTTTGAAAAATTGCAATTAATAATGCAATATTAGGATTTTAATAAAGTTCATGCATGACTTCTTTAAAGACCTATAATTTTTGCTTTCTTTTACAAGCTAACAGATAATTTTCTCAAAAACATCTTCATTTTTTCACCTTTTGTATAATTTGTATATAACGTGTTCATTTTTTCTACTGAATCATATAAAGTTCTTATTTTATGAAAGATTTTGAATGTTCAAAGTTTTGTATACACAATTTGTATCCAATTACATTTTTTAAATCTCATTAAATGACTCAAAATCTTAAGTTTTATGTTTAGATTTAAAAGAGCCAAAAATTGTACATTTCCAAATATTCACAAACATGTTTTTAATAACAAATTCAATTTGTTATTAAAGGAGTTTCGCTGTACTATATCATTCCCACAGTCTCATTTTAATTTTACTATTAGGGGTCAGGAATATTAGGAAAAGTTGAAAAAAAAATAGGAATAAATGAATGAAACAGTATCTAAAAGAGCAAAAAAAACAAGTTACAGAAAGAAAACGGTCACATTAATTGAAATGTTCTCTAAATAGTTTACTATGTTTTCAGTATAAGAAAAATATTTATTTAAGGGCATGGGAGATTTATAGAAGAAATTTTCAGGTATCATTACTAAGGAAATAAACTTCTGTTGAAAGTCATTTAGATGCATAGATTCTGTGTTGTTAAACAAATTGTAGGCTGCATATATAGCAAAAAGGCAATTTTAGGAAGTGGGTCTGAGAGGACTAGGACAACCAGGATATACAAGATGTTGTCAAGACAGTGCAAACACTCATTATAATTTTCTTCAATTAAATTGGAGGATTTGGAAATTGATTAGTACAATTTACATTTGTGTATTATGAGGGGACACCACTAGATCCCAAATGTGTCCTACCTTAAATGCAAGTCAATGAATGACAATAAAACTTTCAGTTGAATCCTTATTTTTGGCAGCAAATGAAACCTCCCTTCCCTCCCCCTTCAAATGTGCATGTACAAAGCCAAATGTCTGTATACTTTGATCAAGAAATTCCACTGTTTTAATATGAATGACATTTGACAGTTTAACAGATGATCAATACTTTAAAATTTCTACATTTTGAATATTTAAAAAAATACTCTTCAAATAACGACGACTTAAAAAAGGGTTTGAAATTACTGTTGAAGTTCCTTGGGTATTCGCAATGTGCTATTTTGCACATGTATCAGTACCTCACGTTTTGGCATGTTAGGTAGCTACACTGGCCTGAACTGTGAACAATTACTGATACATTTTCTAAAATTTTTGAATTGTTTTTATTATACTTAACTACTGGACCTAACAATGCTCCACTATTGCAATGAATTACCTTTACACACTACTGGTCACGTGATCGTAATTTACCTTTTTTCCCCTATGCTCTACAAAAGTTTTAATAGATCAAAGACTTTCCTACAAGTATAGGTTTGTTTTATGTTCTGGTTTGGATATGGTTGTCAAGTATCCTATTGTTAAAACATTCTCTCTGACGTTTGGGGGTGCATTTGCTGTAACCCTATCTTGGAGAAATTTGATTAACTCGACGGAATGTTCATGTAATAATTCCGGCTGATATTTCACAATCACAGGGGCAGAATACACAGTGAAGACACGCTTAATACTTGAGAATGCGGCAGGTTGTGAAGATCTTTTGTTCGAGTAGCTTGTGTCAGCATAAATACATAAAATCATCAACAACATCCCCATTTTTCATCTATGTGCGACAGACATATGCACCTACCCACTGTACTAAGACCAGGATTGGGCAGTATTTACATACTTGTATTTGAAATATGAATTTCAAATAAATTTTGTGTTTGAAAAACTATATTTTTGAGTTTATTGGACGTGTATTTAAATTCATAAAAAAGGTGTATTAGGAAAACAAAACACTTAAAATACAGATGAACAAGAAGATAACAAGAATATATACATGTCACTGCCCTGAGGAAGCCTGCGACATGTCAGGTGCAACCTCGGCACCCCAGCCAACGACGCGGCGTCTCCCGGATAGCCGAGAATTCATCGATAACAAGAATAGTTTATTTTTGTTGAATTCCACTAGTGAATGCACTTCGTTGAAACGAGAATAAAAGCTCCTTAATATTATAAGTTCGTTAAATGGCGATTTATTGCCGGATGAGTTGCCTAAAAGATTAATCGTTTAAAAAAAGAAAATTCTGTTTACTAAGGTTAGACATATTTGTACATCAATTCATATTTGAAAATGTTTATACATATACAGTAGAACCCCAGTAATCCGAACTAACTGGGGATGCGATCTATTCAGATTCAGAAATGATTGGATTATCCAAAAAACAAATGTACCGTACATAAACAAATACATCAACAGGATCACCAGAAAATGCTTAGTAGCATGCGATGTGAGAAAATGGCAACGTTCTATAGTGATCGCATCATCAAGCAGATTCAGTTCCTTACAGCAAAACATTACCGATTTTGCAAGTTCTTCTAAGAGAAAATTACTGCTACATAAACATGTGATATCCACTGTACTCACCAGTGCAATTAAAGTTTCATTTCAACAACTTGTTTTAATAATTAGGTGTTTAAACAGTTCTTTCTTTATGCAAAGAAGCATTTTATTTCTTTTGTGTATTTTTCCTCCGATTGGATTATTCAAAATTTTGCATTTGCGAGGTATGTATGTTACAGGTAGTTACTGTTCACAAATTTACGTGACTGACAATTACAATATATTGTTGCAATAAAAAATATACATTACAAAATTATTATATTTTCTGTATTTTGACTATTTAAAGAATTTTAAATACATATGTATTTGGCAAATTAACACCAAATAAATTTTGAGAATGCATTTAAATACTTATTCACCAAGTATTCTGGTGAAGTATTTAAATACTAAATTTAAAATATTTTGCCCAACTCTGACTAAGTCTATATTCTTCACTCAAGTGCAAGCAAGGGCAGAGCATAAAATACGAACAAACAAACATTTATTTTTGTATATTAGATTCAGCTCACGTATAGTTTTACATTTATTCCTTACTATTTCCCCATTTGTGAACATTACTTTTACTACACCCTTGAAAGTTGAATTTCAACTCAAGTTTCCCTAAAACTAATAAGTTTTAATATCTTTCAGTCATTTGCAAAGGAACCTTGGAAGTTAGTAATGTCTGTCCGAGTTACACTATTGAAAAAAATGTTTTAAAATGTATTTTGGACTAATACATCAAATGACAATATTTCAGCAATAAAATTCAACATCTTACAAAAAACATTGTTTTAAAAAATGTTTGTAATCTATTACTGGGTGGTATATTTCAAAGAACTTGGAGAAAAACCATCAGAAGGAAAGTCAAATGTTAAAGAAGGATTCGGGAAAAGTGGTTGAAACTGTGTAGTAAAGTGTAGTTCAAAATTTTTGATTTAGGCAATTTTGTACAACCATTGACGGTATTTCAGGGAAGACATTTCTATACAATAAAATATTAGAAAATTTGATCTTCAAATATGGTTTGTCATTTCCATTCCTGGCACTGAAATGATTTTTCAAATGCAGTTGTCTCCAAAGATGTCTTTATCGCTTTAACTAGTTAATTATCTACAAATTCAGAACCTATATAAGTGACCAGTGGGGATTAGTGAAGACAAGGGAAAATCAAGAGAGTTTTGAATGCCCTTCCTTTACACAATATCATCAAAATGATATCTCACACTCTTAAATGCACAAAATAGAAAAAATTCCTATAAAACATTTTCTTGGTGTGTTACCTCTCAAAACTTATTTTTTCTGTGTCGATGTAAGTAGTCACAATAGGTGTTGTGAGACGAGTTGTTATAGCTTCCTCTGTGGGCTGAAGAAATTGAAGATCCTCAGGTGATATCATCCTCATTTGTTCCACATATACTTGATGAGTTTCATGGTCTACTTCCATCATAACAGCAGCATCACCTGTGCATCATATATTTCAATACCAATTTGCTTTATGTTAAATAAGTGATTATCTGAATCTGAGTATTTCTCGTGGCTTTCTTAAAATACCCACAACATCTTACAGAATGCTTGAAAATTATTTACTACAAATAGCATTACTCATCTGGCTACTTTTCAAAACATTTACGAAATGTTGTAAAGCACAACTACGCATGGTTAAATAGGGATGCAAGATTAAAATTTTAAATTTACAAAATCAGAAATTGAAAGCAATTCTTTATCTACAAATATTACAGGGAGATATAATTGGCAATAACAAGGAAGAGAAAACAACATTAGTTTTGAATTGAAAAATTGGAATACATATAGGCACAAAACACTGTACACAAGAGTAATTACACATGATATATCAAAGTGCAAAGACAGTTCAAACTGTTTGAATACCTAAACATAAATCACTTCATAAATTATTTCTTAAAAAGTAGAGAAATATAAGTTTTACCTACACATCCATAAAAGCATTTAAATGCTTGAACCCAAAACATGTAGTTTTTGTGAATATACTATATGCTGCTACAGAAAATTATAAGCTATTCACAATCCAGTAACAAGCATGAATGCAAAGAAATATAAATTTGTAATTGTTAACTCTTTACAAAATATAATGGAAATAACATACTCATAACTTACCATAAGAAAATTTCACATTTAACTCCTGACAAATACTTGAAATATTTATCACTTGTGAAATTAATTAAAACCAAATAACCAAATAATTATTTTTACACAAGGTATACAGACAAATTAGGAAATCCTCAAAAAAACAAAAAACAACAAAACAGATACTCCATGCCATTATGGATTCACCAAATATTTAGTCACAAAAATATCTGGCACTTTCCAAAAGCATAATCAATACTGATGTAAAAAGTGATGTAGAACAAAAACTGTGTCAACAGACTTACAAATGAATTAAATAACAAATAAATTTAAAAAATCATAAATAAGCTAAATTCAGCTTATAATTTATCAGTTGTCAACAACTATAAAAATACTACTTTTCATGAAAATAATATCTCTCATATCTAACATTCAAGCTCGTGTAACAAGCAGCAACACACTATATTCTGGAAGAATGTAACACACGCATACAGCACCAAAGTTTAACGAATTCACTTCATAAGTCTTCAAAATTGTTCTCGCAGATGATGTATTTGTTATTTCACATTACTTAAAAAGATTTTGAAATGTGCAAAACTTCTTTTAAGTTAATAATCTTTTAATATTGTTGCTTCCATTGGCAACCAATATCAAATTATAAATAAATTAAGTCAACACACACTATGCAAATAAGGTTAGAAGCTCATAGCATGTATATTGCTTTAAATTACATAACTAAATAAAAATATTGCAAAAGCCAGACAGGTCAGATTCTGGTACAAGTAGCAGGATTTTTCTATATTTTATGTTTCATGAGGAGTGCTGCTGTGCTACTGTGCCACAAAATGACAATGGTCAAAACATGGAAGACAAGCAAATCAATTAGCAAAATGTGTTACAAATCTGACCAGGTCAGGTAATGTTTTCACCTTTTGCAGTTGGCTGCAGTTTGAAAATATAGCTCCTATCACAGCGAATCACTGAAGGAGCTGTAATGGCTGTTGAAATTGAGATACACATTGAAATCATTTACTACTACAGAAATCTAACCCAGAGCTTCTCAAACTTTTTATATCTACGACCTTTTTATGTCTACATTTTTTACAGCTTCCCATTAAACCTGCTACTTTGGAAACATTTAATCACTACATTTCATCTTATTTCCTCTTATAAAAATTACCAGGTTGCATTGCTCTATTCCTTACAATTTTCAAACAATAAGGCACTACTAGTATTGCATACAACAATTTATTAACAATCTGAAATAGAGCAATAAAGTGTAACAAATCATTAAAAAACTTGACAAACACTCTTTTGAATATCCACATATTTTATTGCCTTTGTTTTCTGTAACTTATTTCTTCTTATATAATCCTTTAAATGGCCGTGATCTCTAGTTTAAGAAGCCCTGATCCAACCATTAATCTAAAATATTTTTAGGTGATCAAAACTGTAAATGACCACTATATAAACTTACCTTTCATTCTACTACACCTGAAAAGAAAAATGTCTAGATCTATACATCCAATACCCATCTTAATATAAGTATATCAATGCCACTTTCAATTATTTGTATTACCATGCGTTGTTAAGCAAGAAAATATTTATACACCGCTTTTATCCTATAAACTTCTGAATGAAAGTACATTCTACACACTTCAATATACTTGGAGCTCTACAAAGTCAAAGTTCATGCAATTCACAAACATATAAGATTTCTCATAAAAATACTTACTCTGACCCTTAAAAATATAACTCCGATTTCCTCTCTGCCAACTGGTTTGATCAAACCCGAGTAACGTAGTATCAATTCTGACATTTGACCCTTGCTTGTAGACTTTGTAGGTATCACTCGGGCACATCCGTGAAACCAAGGGCACTAAGCAAAGAAGACAAAACAAAAAAGGTGAAAATATATAAATTTTAAGCATTTAGTATGTTTGTGCCAGTCGCTAGTCAAATACGCAACCATTTATTTCATCAATAAATTAACAATGCTGCTTGTAAATACGAACAAAACATTATTTGTAATTATTTAAATAGAAGTACTGATCATTGTTCCAGAAAAACCATGTTCAATATAAAATTTAGTATTTTGTATGATGTTTTATTTTAATAAGTTAGCTATACTAATATAGGTTAGTTCTCCAACTTTCCATTCTTTCTGTGCAGTGTATATCTCCGAATTGGTGGCATTGAAAGCACATTATCATCAAATAGTTTGTGGTTGTGTATGACACAAAATTTTAAGTTAGCACCATTTTCGATTTTATCTCAAGAGAAACAGTGACAGTAGAATGACAGTTGACAGAGTAATTTGTAGAGCGCATCTTCTAGACCAAAAGCCAGCACTGTCAGTTAAGATGAATTTCAGTACATTTTTTTATCAATTACTCATCAGGATGCCTGATGAGGAATGTTATATTTAATGTTATCTAATTTCTCCAAAAATTTTGTAAGTATTGAAGAACAGAGATTTTACTTTATTTTAAAAAGATTTTTTTGGGAGCAATATCACCAAGGTTGATCAAACATACTACCTTAATAAATGTTACCTACCCCAACTGGTAAATTCCCATTTCATCTCCACATAGAAGTCTGGTGCCTGGAAAAGTAAAAGAAAATAAAGTTAATATATACAAAACACAAGCAAAATCAGCTTAATAATATCAATTATTTGTTTTTAAAAATCCTTAAAAATAGTAATCAATGTTCTGCAACTAAATTTCATCAACGACAATGCTTACAGTGAATGTTGCAGAAACAAAGTTCCCTTGCATCGAAGACTAAAATGTCCCATGTTCACCATATAGAAGTACAATATCTGTAATGTCTTAATGCTTTATTTATTCATCATCAAAACTGAATCTTCAGAACTTTTGTTGGTTGTAATATAAAATTGAAAGTAGTTACATACTTATTAAATTTACTGGTTAAAGTTTAGGGTACGGTACACCCTTAGAAAAGTGTGGCAGCGGGGCTTAAACCCCGATTACTGTACGTGCTCTAATAAAAATTACTTTTAAAAAATGTAAAAACAAATGAATAAGATGAGTGAGAAGATATGTGTAAAACATTAATAACAACCATTAGGGGTTCAAATATAACAGAAATAAAAAATCAATAGTTTAATACTTCTTTAAGTTTTTGTAGGAGTTCAGGAATGCCTCCAACGCGACTGGAATAACGCTGATAGTCTCTTCTCTCTAATACTAATTGAAGCAACTCTGGATCACCCGTTGCTACAGCTTCCTGGACCACTAGAATTTAAGAACACACAGTGAAAGTAAAATGCATATTTTTATGAAAAATAATTTGTTGTGTTTATTCTTACCTGTCCAACCATCTCTGTTTTCTGTATTGACATTCGTTGTATGCTGTAATAATATACGTGCTGATTCTAAGTGTCCAAGAGTAACAGCAAGCATAAGAGGGGTGCGTCCACGAACATCTCTTTTCTCTTTATCAAACTATAAATGAAAATGTAAACAATTATTACAAGTTATATAAAATAGCCCAAAAGTAATCAATAAATGCCACACAATTCATAATTAGATATGCCTTCTTAATTAACAACAGAAACACTAATATGAAGGGCTTCTCTCATGTCAATGGTAAGAGCAGTTGTTAGGTTTCAAAACTTGCCAAGAAGTCCTACATTCTTTGGCAAACTTCAATATAAATTAATCATACCAAAAACCTTACTTTTAAATCCATATGTCTGATATTCTTTTGAATTCGAACGAAAATTATGAAAGCAACAATAATAAACAGGACTTATAGAGAGATCCTGAGTATGAACACTGAAAATGACATACTCATCCCAGTAATTATACTAACCACATTCTTTGAGAGTTCTCTGTCTAATTCTTTGTACTCGTTGTTCCAGACGAGCCAATGCAGAGGATATTGCTTTTGAATGTATTCCAATGACGGCATTTTCGTAGTAATTTTCTTTCTGCACTAGATGACACACAGTACACAGTTACGTTGTAGCAATGCACACGCCTCCACAAATCATTTGTAATGTTACTTTACTTTTTCACTCAATCCTTAACATCACCGCCACGATACATAGTTACATCTATTGCAGTTTCGCATTAGAGTTCCAAATAATACACGGATCGTCTTTTTAAACAATCATTTAATGTAAACTTATGCACACCAACCCGCAATTCCCCCCGTCACCCGTCACACTACATTCTCGCCTGTTCTCGCCACAGATGACTAACCTCTATGCCTTGACAACTGCGTGACGTATTGCTGTGAACTTAATTGCATGTTTTTATTTTGATTGCAGACGCATCCCAGTCTCACACGTTAATTAAAATTGCATTATAGTGGTAATATTTCAGATAACTTCTAGATAATTATTTCTTTTTTAAATTGTCCATGTCTTTCTGTTGACTAACGTCTTAATTTCTTTATTGGGGATACATCAAGTGTCATGAATGGAGCGGATTTGTTATTGTATGTGGTAAACATTTATCACTTGTGAATGAGTTATCATTATATTCGATATTAATGGAATTGTATTACATGAACACAAATGTCCCGGGGAAAACTAAGAAGTGTCACCGACGTTTGCGCAGACTGTGGAGCAGTAGGTGAGTCAGACATGTCTCCTCTACAGCAATTACCAAATTTGACTTCAGCAACAAGTGACCGATACCTTGTCATTCGTAGATCAAGTAGATGTGAATTAATGTAGCCAGATTCTCGGAAAGTACTTATAAAATGCACCATTTCATCTGTTATTTCAAATTCATGAGGAAGACATTCCCTATGTTTGATTTGTAAATTACTTGTAATTCTGTACTTGTCAAAATAAATTGGATTGTTAAAGAGAAATATCTCATACATATATTCATTAACATTATTTGTTAATTATTTCAGATCCTTCTTGGGCATCCATTAACAGAGGTATTTTATTATGTGATGAATGCTGCAGTATTCATAGGAGTTTAGGGCGTCACATTTCTCAAGTGAAATCTTTAAAAAAAGGAACATGGAGTCCTACACTTCTTCAAATGGTTCACACTCTAAACAACAATGGTGTAAACAGTATTTGGGAGCATTCCCTACTAGATCCTTCAAATTCAAAATCTGGACGCCGAAAACCCCAACCCAAGGACCCTGTACAGTGCGTGAAATTGCATTTTTAAGATTTAAAAAAAAATTAATATTCTGCTATTTGTATATAAATAATTCATTTTATTTTATTTGTTCTTTCAGCCCAACTAAAGCAGATTTTATACGTGCAAAACATCAAATGCTATCTTTTGTATTTCGACCAGGGAAAGATGACACTTTGCTTTTGGAAGATGATTTGAGTCGACAGTTACATTCGAGTGTTCGAACTGCAAATTTGGAAACTAGTCTTCGTTTGTTATCGCAAGGAGCAGATCCAAACTATTTCCATGAGGTATGTTTGTACAAACAAACAAAAACTTTGTGTCTGCAATTTTTTCTCTACATTTTATTTTATTTGAAGCAATTGTGGACTATTGTTTTAGGAAAAAGGAACCACTCCATTACATGTGGCAGCCAAAGCAGGTCAAATGTCACAAATGGAATTGTTGGTTGTCTATGGTGCTGACCCTGGCTCTGTGGACAGTAACGGCAAAACTCCTGTGGAATATGCAAGGTAAAATAAATGTATGAATTGAAATATCAGCCCCAATATTCATCATGATGAAAGCAGTTATAAAAGTAATTTTCAAACCTAACTTCTAGAATTGAAGATCTTGGGGCAGTAATATATTCTCTACATGGAGGGAATTAGAGGCATTGATATAAATGGGTTTAATATTACCTTTCAAATCATCAAATAGTTGTGATTCAACATGTTAAATTTAAAAATATTTCAATCCATTTTTCCTAACTTAGACTGATAAATAACAGTGTACTGCAAGGACCTATTCCATTTCAATTAAAATACACAAAAAATAGTTCTATTTGCACATTAATATCAAAGCAAGTACACTACAATTCCTACAGAAAGAAGCACAAACAGTTCTAAAGGCACTTGTAAAATGATTCCAAAGAAATAAACCCATCATAAATACCAGTAAAATCAGTAAATGTCTCTCTAAACCGTAGAAACTCACTTTCTAAAGAAAAGTCACCAACACAAATGGTCATCAAAAACATGCCAATAATAATTCCAAAAACATCCGTCATTTCCAAGATAATATAATACGAAACTCTCACATTACAGACCTAATAACTAGTTCACTAAGTCATGTTGTCATAAATCCTAACTTAGATAATTATGAATAGTGTTCTTTGTGACGTTCTTTCACATGTAAAATACAACTCATATGTCTCTTGACATAAGCATTCAGAAGATAATTGATTAGAGGAGCTAGAATCAAGAAAAACCTACTGACAGTGTTTTCTTTGAAGATCTTCTTCATGTTAGTGAATTATACATAGTATTAGAAGAACTGGAAATCACCCCTTTATTTGTGCAAGTACAACCAATTAGTGAAGCAATAGGCAACAAAAGGGTGCGCTGTGGAAACGTTGAGAGATATTCCTTAGATGATAATTTTAATGAATGTATTGAAATGTGAGATGCCACTGAATGGCTTGCATGTTTACCCACTGTCACTCTAATGGACTTTCCAGAGTATGATATTTTAAAAGAAAAAGTTTATGTAGAAAAACTCAAGATCTGCAACATTTATAAGAAAAAATGGTTAAAGTAGGATACACAGTACACCCTGAGAGAAGCGTGGTGGCAGGGGGGAGGGGTCTTCTTAAGCCCTCCCTCATATTACGCTATGCCCTCTGATAGAAATGAATACAACTTACGGACAGGCTATTTTCATGGTTTGCCCTTCACACGCTTTGTCCCCGCCGCATTGTAATGCCAATTTTCTTTCAACCGCAAATTTTCTCGCTTCGCTCGCCCAGATCCAAGTCACGATGAGGCTCTGGCCTTCGGCCCTCGTGTTTACTATAAACATCATTGAGTCTATTCACCAGATAATTACCAATTCACTTTTATAAGAATGCACTTTTCAAGAAAGCCTTCAGAATTCAAACTGCGCATTTAGCAGCCGGAGCAGCACATAGCGCTGGTTTAAATGACTTCTGTAAGTTTTTCCATATACTAGACTTCAAAAATTAATACTGAATTTTATACATTTGATCCAGCAATATCAGTGATGCTAAATGTTCTTGAAAAGATGTCATATTGCTATTGAAAACTTTGTTGAGGTAAGGCAATCACTTGTAATAATTTCATCATTTCATGGTTCATTAAATAAAGTGAATAAATTTGTAAAAATACAGTTTTGTCTTGTGACTTATGGCTCACCTGAATGAAATTTAATTCTTTGAAAATTTTCCAAAAAGTGTTCATGCTTTCACAATTCAAAAACCAAACAGAAATGATGACAGTAAGTGAGTTCTGTGAGATAAGCAACTGTGGATGTCAATGTTTGAAGCAATCTGATAACGTGTCTTTATGCAGGAAGATATTTAATCAACTGTAATCTCCATCACCTTTTTTGCTTCTGATTATAATAAAGTTCAAAATTGCTTAATGTGACCATTTAATAAAGGTCAATTTATGAAATGCTCTGGATTGTTGGCCACTTAGCTAGTGGTCTCTGAAAAGAGGGTGTGTATGAATGGATCATATGGAAAATTCAATTAGTTCCATGACAAAATGTCCATATAGGTGACTGCTTAATCAAGGTGGCTATTTCAGCAGGTTTCACTGTGTATCACTGTGTTTCACTGTTGATAGATTTTTTTCAAGTAGTGGGGTACTTGGTGTGGCTGCCTCAAGCACTATATAGCTTTCATGATCTTCAGTTACATCAGAAGCTTAAAAGAATACGATTTAAATTGAATAAAATTATTGAACCAATCTTAGTTTGGATATTTTATTACCCTATTTATTAATTTCATTATCTACGAATTTAAACATATAAACAAATAGTTTGTAAAAACAATTCCATTTCAGGACTGCAGGCCATAAGGATCTTGCTGATAGATTGGTAGAATGTATGTATGAGCTTACAGATAGATTGGCATTTTATTTATGCTTCCGCAAACCTGATCATTTAAATGGGCAACACTACATCATTCCTGAAGTGTCTGACAGTGTAGAACATACAGACTTAGCCAAAGCAGCCAGAAGAAAATTGCAACAGGTACATTTTTTCTAACTTTACACGTGCAATTACATCATCATCATTTCAGGATTAAGAGTTTAGTATTGTAAAAGAATCTTGATATGTGCTATGCATTAGAAAGTACATTTATTCTTATCATTTTCTTTTTGACATTGACTTGTCTTCATGTGTATGAAATTGTTTTTGGTGGGAATGAAAAATTAGATGAAATTGCCAGGTTAAAAGAGTTTTTCATTTAATCTGTTTATAAATGTTAATCATGGCAAAAATTGCAACAGAACTAGTTACATTGTGTTCTAGCTATTAAGTTGATTGTTCTATCTATTGTAGGGCAATTTAATGTATTTTTCTAACAACAATTTTTGTTTATTGTCTTGTTTGATGTCTAGACATCAAGCTAGTTATTCAATGCTAATCTGTAATAATGAAGCAGAATCATGCTTCAAATTTTATTGTAAAGTCAGGCTAATTTAAGTCTTCATTTAAAGTTAAGTTAAAATAAAAAAACAAATTTTTAATTATTTATTTATTATTATTAGAGCACTGAAAGATATTTTCACTGGTATTTTCTTTTTTACTATTGGGCTTTTTTAAATTTCTTATCTAGAGATGTAAATATAACATTATGTAGTTCTAATCTCTGTAATTTTTTCTCCTCTATTTGCTTTCAATTATAGTTGCCCAATCATCTTTTTGAAGAATTAGCTATGGATGTTTACGATGAAGTTGATAGACGTGAGACTGAAGCAAGTAAGAGAAAATGGTTGATAGTTTTGTTAATTTAAATTTCTTGTTGGTACTTTTGTTCTTATGTGATTATTTTTTTTCAGTTTGGTTGTCTATGCAGCAGTCAGCAAGTTCATTACCCATTGATCATTGCGCGGTACCGTTTCTTCCTGTTAACCCAGAATTTTCTTCAACTCGTAATCAAGGTCGTCAGAAATTAGCACGTTTTAATGCAAGAGAATTTGCAATGTTGATAATTGATATCTTATCAGATGCAAAAAGAAGACAGTCCCCAACAACAACATCACTTATTCTACCTCATGGTTTGTATTTATAATGAATGCACAGTATTCAATTTTTTTTAAAAGAGATTTTTTTGTTATACAGTGCCTGGAAATGTTTAATAAAGTATATTATCTGCAATTTTTCTAATGGGTATAACATGATAAAAAAGCCTTATTTAAAAAATGTGTCCATAATAAATATGAAGATGAAAAGTATGAGAAAAATAGGTGTTTGTTTGGTAGCATTTTCACTACTAAAGAAACATTATTATTTTATATTGTAGTGATTTCTTTTTTTAATCTTTCACATTCTTGATTTTGTATATGTGTGTTTGTCCCTAATAGAAGCAAAGGAAGGTCTTCACTCCAAACTTTCAAAATCAGCTTTGACACCCATCAATAATACTGCGGTTTTGAAAAGAAAATCTGAAATTTCTGATGATGAGCCTCTGTATGACAGTGTAGCTTCTGATGAAGATTATCTGACTGCAGAGCAAATAGCAGCCCTATCTCAAAGGGTACTGAATGCCAAATACAACGAAAATAAAAGCAAAGTACAAGAGGCATGTTCATTGGAGAAACCTTACTCATTTATTTTGTTATGTCATTAAAAGACTCCACTTTTAACTTGGATTTTATGTTTTTAGTTATCAGAAGATAACCCAGATAAAGGAGAAAATAAGGGATTGTTCTCTGAAAAAACAAATGGTTCTTCTAGTAACTTGGCAGAGGTATGTACAAAACACTTCTCAGTTGTGATTAACCCAAATCTTCCCCAAGTTACATGTAGGCAACATGCATTTTGAAATGTCTAATTTTGATAAAAAACGTCAAATGAAAACTTGCCAGTGTAAGTTAATAGTATTATTCTGAAAATATTTGGTATTGTGTTTAAATTGTATTGTTTTTTATTGTCAATAATTATAAATCTGTGATTGCTGGATAGACGGTGTTATATTAAAAAATGGTAAAAATGAGATTTTGTCATAAGTTTATTTTTTTTAAAAAAAAGTTAAATGTACTTCTGGATTTAATGAGTCAAGTCCGAGGACACTGTTACACCATGTAATTTGTTTGTGAATTTTGGTTATGTGAGTAAAATGTTGGAAAATAATAAAGTCATGTCGAGTTATGATTGAAAATACATTGAACTGGAGGATTGTTCTTTGGCTACACTACATGTTATGTGTCAGCATTTTGCTGAGGTGGATTTAAAAACAAAAATTCAGTAGTAAAATATTTAAAGCCCATTTTTCACAAAACTATTATTTTGGACACCCTTTTACAGCTTTTTTACACACTCGATGCAGCAAACAGATATTAGTTTCATTTATACATATGCCATAATATACGTACTTACATATATAAGTAATGGTGTTGAAAATTGACTTTGAGATTTCAACAGAAATACACTTTTTGAGGACCCCTGATACCAATAAAGTGTGTTGTTGTTGTTGTTGTTGTTGTTGTTGTTGTTTTTTCACTGCCTGTCTGTTTGTCCATTGTCTGTGAACAACACTAGCACCTAAACTATGCATAGGATTTTTTCAACTGAATACTTCCCAATCGATATGGCCAAGTTCTGTGATTTTTAATAACATTCGTTAAATTTGAGGGACACTTTACTTTATGAAGTCTTTGGGATATTTTCAAAATGTTCTCAAAAATTACTCAATTTTTTCTGTAAATTTTTGTAAGAATAGTGTGCAATACACTTATAAATGTTCATAGGTCTGATTTTCACTCTTAACTCTGATTTTTCAAAAATTGCAAAAGTTTGAAATTTTTTCGATGTTTTCCTACAACTGCAAAATTGAAAATAGAGATTTTTCCGTCGTATGAAATTTGTTCTTCATAGTTCTGTCTTTAAGGTCATGAACATCATTTGAAAGTTTTAGTAGTTTTCACTCAATATTGCATGAAACTATTAAAAAATATCAGAAACAAGAATTTCTCAGAAATGTCTCTAAATTTTTTCTTTAACACATTCACGTTTCTGCCTGTAGAATTATGAGTACCAACAAGTTGCCTTAAATTACAAAGCCTGTAGAATCTATGGGTGATAACATACTATATATTTGCCTATACAGGCTATTTTTTCCATTCGCTGACTACACATGGAGAGTCCTACATCAATGAAGTACCTAATTACACACTACATTTAGTTTGCTGTCATTAAATTGGTAATGAACACCATTGGAATGCACTGAGGAGCATGCTCTCTGTATTGCTGTCTAAGGAGCGCTATACAATATTACCAAACCAAGCCCAGTTATTGGGAATATAAAGTAATGTCTTCTTTATTAGTACAATAGTGCATTTGTACAAAACAAAGATATAAATGAGAAACAAATATAAAATTACAGTATGGTAAATATAACAGAAAAAAAATGAAAAGAAGGGGGAAAAAAAAGAAAAAGATGGTAGATGATAATCAAGAGAGGATAGTATAAAGTTTGTTCAAACATTATTTAAATGCGTGAATACTGGGAGCTTTGACTAGAGCAGCAGGTAGGCGATTCCAGTGATTGATGATTCTGTTTGACCAGAAAAACATGTAGGAATTGAGAAAAAAAAATCTTTTTTCAATTTGTAATTGTGACCACAAAGGTGGCAGTTGGTATTGCGGAGAAAGAAATCATCAAAACTTGGTGTGGTGTAGCGACTGCTGAGCACCACTAGACTTCTTTCCTGTCGGGGAACTCCCAACATTGCAGATGTGCAATGTTCTGTATTTTAAAGATGAATTTACCGAACTAATACATCCTTCTTACATTCCGCTTTATTCATTATATCTTGACAAACTAACTATTTATGTAAGTTAACAATGTAATGAGATAAGTTAACAATGTAATAAGCATTGAATAAAAATAGTCGGTACTTAACACACAGTTTGCACTCTTGTATTGTTCATAAAGAGTCGTTCAAGAAATATGTACATATTTGTCTCATTTGGAAACATGTTTATTCATTTATTTTAATTTTATTTATTTATCAATTGGTTAATAGGCAAGCATCCAATTTACAATAAGTACACTTATAGTGTATCTGAGGTCATTGAAGTATAAAAGTTTCACATTTGATATAAATTGATTTAGCGTTACATTATTCACGTGTATATTTCAATTGTTTTCAATGGTAGTCTCAAAGGAGCATTTACAGATAAGTTTATTTTCGCTGAAGGTATTTCTAAAGTATTTTGTTCACTATTTCTCGTATTACATGCAGGTACTATCCACTCTTATGTTTGCAATAATATTTATACAATGAATTTCATTAGTTACAAATTTGAATAAAAATAGGTGGTTTTTAGATCATCCACAAATGATAAGTACTTACAATTTATAAATTTAGATTTAATGTCATTAATAAAAATCAAGAATATTAGGGGTCCAAGGTGTGATCCTTGAGTAACAACTGTTAAATCTCTAGTATTAAAGAATTTGTATCTGTATCTATCTACACAAGAAAAATGTTTCAAAAATATTTTTCACTGAAAAAAAGTATGTGTAGCATTTCCTCTATTTCCTGTGTACTTAATATATTATACTAATATTATAATTTTTGTCATGTTAATTGTAAAGATGATGTGAAGAGTGAAAGAAGGGGAGTCAAGGTGTGTTCTTATACTTTTGAGGAATTGAAGCTTTTCTTTACAAAATTGTGTGAAGGGTAAGGTGATCAGAAGTTATGGGGTTCCTCAGCTTGTAGATAAATCAAGGTAATTACAAAATATTAGTGAAGGATGGGCCAATGGGTTGCCTACGTAGATGAAAAGAGGGAATGTCCTGCCTCAGAGATATTGTTCAGAAATGTTAGCAGAAGGGCAATGGGATGTCAAGCCCTATGAACTTGCTTTAAAAGAAATTGGCCAGGATGAGGGGTTAGTGATACAGGCAAATAGGCAATCTTATTAACAATTGTAGAATTTAAAAAACATTTATGTTTCACTGTTGCACTGGACGAAAATAAGCAATATTGTTTTAAGGTGGATAAAACTCCATTCAATATCAGAAGAATAATGGGGGCAATCTTTAAACCCAAAATATCCGATGAAGTTAAATCCAGATCTACTACCAAACCCAATTCATCATTTAAAATTAAATGTTAAAACTTAAAGTTAAACATTAGCTTTCATGAATAATCTTAAAAGAATATGGAACATATTGCAAATATAATGTTGCATAATATGGGAGATTTTCTAAAATGTGAAAATATGTATTACACATGGAGATATGGATGTGTTTTAAGTAATTCAAAAATCTTAGTGCATAAATACGATTTAAGTGTGATTTTATCTAATTAAACTAAATATGTAATTATATATCCTAGCTCATTCATTACGCTTTATAAAGAGAAATCTTATCATCCATGTATGTAAACCAGAAACTACATTCAAAGAAATGTTTCTCTATGAATGTTCCAGACAATGTTGTCCACCAGTTCAACATCAATGGAAGAAAATCTCAGGAAACAGCTTGCACTTTCAGAAAGTAGGATGGATGAAATGAAAGCTGAGATTCGAGAGTTACAAAAAACAGTAAGTAGTGCTGGAACCTTTGCATTTTAAACTATTATCGTTGATGCTTATTGCTTTTAATTAATATTATTGCATTATAATTTTCTCCTATATGTAGAACAGAGAATGTTATGTAATGCTGGAAAAATCAATGCCCAGATTTCAACAGAAAAACACATATTGGGAGTTCACAAAAAAGTGTATAGTATTTTTACTTTCTCGCCCTGTCTTTGTAAAAAGAGAATGTATTTTAGCCAAGCGCTGGCAAATGGCAAATTTGCGACAGAAAAATTCTGCTGGGCCCTAGTAACAAAAATGTGAATAAATCTTGTTCCTAAATACAGTAAATCCTTTCTCTAACATATGCAGTCAGAATCCATGTTTTGTGAATCCTTGTTACAAAATGTTGATTGATTGCAAAACTGTAATGTCTCAATCATCAAGTGTGTGACACCATGAAATCCCTTTTATATGAGATAACAGACAATAGTAATTCACTAAGTTACAAAACATCTCTCTGTTGATCCATCCGTCCCTCTGTTCCTGGTCAATACTAGCACTTAAACTGTTCAAATATTTTCTCCAAATCCTTGATTGATTTAAAGGAACTCAAGGCCTTCTAAGTTTGAAACAGATACTATTTTGATTTTTGAAGGCTCATTTGTATGAAACCTCAATTACATTTTTAAAATGTTCTCAAAAATAAAATAAAATTTTTATTTGACTTTGTCCTGAAATATCATAAAGGACACTTAAAAAAATGATGTAGATTTTATTATTGTTGAAAATTCTCATTTTTCGAAAAATTGCAAAAGTTAGGTAGTTTTTTACTACTAGAGTATTAAAATTAGATATTTTTCTTTAAAAAAATCTGTTTCCCAAAGAGATTTTGAAATAGTCATGTACAATTTTTTGAAAATATGGATAATTTTCATATATTTTTTTCACATTATTTGAAGATTGAATATTGAAATATTTGAATTAAGGTAATTTTTAAAGAATAATTTTCTCTAAAACTGCATTTTTCTTTAAAATTTCTTTGAAGAATGGTAAAAAAAGTTGTTGCTAGTTCCATTTCTGGTGGACTCTGTGTTTTCAAAAATTTAGCATTGCAAAACTATAAAATTAAGTATAGAGATTTTTGCCTTTAATGAAATCAGCTCTTTAAAAAGGGGCATTTAAAAAAAAAGTTTATGCAAATTATAAAAAAATTATTTTCAACAAACCGCTCAAAATTTTTTCTTTAAATTTTTTCCATGGATAGAACAAGAAATGCATCAAAGAATGGTGCAGGTCTCATTTTCGTTGAACACTCTGCATTTTTGAAAACTGTAAAACTTTGAAACTAAGCAAGAAAGTATGTGCTATTGTGACTGTGGCTCAACTAGTTTCAAAACTTGTCTGTGAACAACAAGGAATCTAAATTGTGTACACTATTCTGACACCATAATCTGAATATTCCACGATTGATTTGTGTAATTTTTGCAGTATTTAAATAAAACCTCTTTCTTATACCATGTCAAAAATTTCTCAAAAATAGCTTCAAATTATTTGTTAGGGTTGGGTAAAAAGTACACTTAAAAAATGCCATAGCTGATTTTCATGAAAAACTTGCAAATTTTTAACATTGCAAAAGTTTTACATTTTTTGAACCCCCTCCTACAAGTACATTATTGGAAAGAGTGATGAGATGAAATCTCTTTTTAAAAGTTAAATCTTTATTGAATGTCTTGTTAATTTTTGCGCAAATATGTCTTCTTCACTTAATTTTGGGCGATATTATGACAATTTAAACTAGTGAAGCTTCAGAATGGTACAGATTTTCTCATACTAGTTTTCTAATATCTTTTAGTCTGGGCTAACTTTATCGGTTTTGCCCCATCAACTGATCTGTATTTCCGCCTAAATAACATTTTCTCACATGCTCTCAATTTTGTTCTCTTCTAATGGTATAACTGACAAATTATTTTAAGAATATTATAGAAGAGTAAATCTTGGTTCTACATGTAAATTTTCATTAAAAAAATTGGTGCCATTTCTGAGAAAATTTTGTTGGTTTCCAAAAAATCACAATATTTGAGCTCATTTTTACAGAAAATGTTTGAGTATTTGAAACACCATTGAAAATCATATCAAGTACTTCTACTCACAATTGCAATAATGTATACAAATCTTCTGTAACGTAAATATTAACAATGTGACAAATATTTTTAAAAAATTACATTTTTGTTATTTGGTATACTCAAAAGAATAAATCACTTACATGTCATTTAAGGAAATGTCTCTGTGGTATTTAATATTGTTTTTCCATCTGTCTATCACTTTTGTTCCTGATTTCTTCACGCTTGCACTTATATTGAGATTTGATGGGATTTAACAGACTTCATGATATCGCTCAAGCACAGAAGCACAAACCACCAATAAAAAAAACAAAATATGAAGTGTAAATAAAACATTTCTCATGGCAGTGCTTACTGTTGCAGTGGGAGAGGCCCACATAACAATGCCGACTTATGATTGCGATTGCGATATCATGAATGAAATAATTTGTATCTCTGGGTTTCCACGAAAAACAGATATCCCATTCTTTAATTTTCATTTAAGGAAATTTAGAGCTGTATTTTGAGATTTTTTTTAAATTGCCTATACCTCAAGCAAAAATTTTGCAAAAACTACTAGTTAAAAAGAAAAGAAATTGTACTAGATCTTATTTAAAAATCTAATATTTTAGTACAATTATCATTAAGGAAAAAAGTCTCTACCATCAATATTGTAGTTCTGGAGTATTACTTTTTTGCAATTTTCAAAAATACAGTCCACTGGAAATTGATTCTACACCCATTTTATAAGTATACTTTGCTCTATGGGAAGCAGTTTCTGAGAAAGTATTTTTTTATAATGAGCTCAAATGGCCAGCTTGATTTAGCACACATTTATTAACAACTGTTTTTTCGCTGAATCAATTAATTTTCCACAAGTCCTGTCTAAATATTCCCTCTTTTCAGTGGCCATCTGCTTTTGCACATTTCGTAAATTGGCCCTTATTAAGCAGTCACTTCAAGTGATTTTGAACTGTATTATAACAAGCAAAAAACTGATGGAGATTACTGTTGATTAAATATCTTCCTAGATCAGGGTGCTTTGTCAGATTACTTTGAATAATAACATCCAGAGATGCTATTTTGCAAAATTACTTTAGTAGGAATTAGGGGGATTACTTTGTTCCAGATAACAACAGATCATCATCACCTTCTTCCTTGACAAGGGTTGGAAGCCAATTCCAAGACTCAGAACTGCTCTGAGCACCTCATTCTAGGTCTACCTACATCTCTGTAGCCCTTAGGTTCTTATAAGAGAGCTAACTTTGATAGTCTATTTGGTTCCATCCTATTTACATGTTGGAACCATTTCTGTTGGTATTTTTTAATGTCATTTACTACACTTTCAATATTTAACTTTAACCTTATGTCTTTGTTTGAAACTGTGTCCTTCAAGGTTAAACTCAGTAGAGTTTTTAAAAAATTCATTTGGGATGTCCCTAATCTTCTTTCATCATTTTTCCTTAGTGTGACGGATGATTTTAATAAATATCTCTTAAATGAAAGAACAACGCATTCATTTCTCCCTTGTCATGTCATCGTTATGGAGTGATAACATGTGCTTCCCTTCTGTCAGAATCTGGCAAGGACTCGCGGAGCATCCCTGTGGGCGAATCTGATCAGCAGGTCATTCACCCTTCACCAGACCTATTACAAAGTTTCAATAGGATACGAATTGCATCTTTAATGGCAAGGACAGAGAGTGAGTTTCTTGACTGAGAGAAGAAGTGAGAAATAAGAGTGTGTTTTGATATTAAAAGAGAGGAGGCAAAACATCCTAAATACATTGTTTAAATTGTATTTTGTCATTTATGATAATTAAAAATTGTAAATAATATATTTAATTTAATATAAATTAGTACAACTATGAGGCTCAGGTGAAAATTTTTCGGACTGAAAATGAAAGACTGTGACTATCAGTTAAAAAATGATTTTATTTTTCTACATAACCTCCCTTGACTTCAACACACTTGGTCCAGTTTTTCTCCAACATCAGTATTAATTCCTGGGAACGAGTCTGGAAGGTGGAAAAATATTCATTTATGGTCCTCTCAACTTCTTGGATCCAAAATGCTTCCCAGTAAGAAATTTCTTCAAGATTGGGAGCAGATCGAAGTGATGGTGCCAAATCAGGAGAATATGGGGGGGATGGCGAAGCAAATCGTACCAGAAATCCCGCAGTTTCCCCATTGCCAACACACTCTTGAGCACAGGTGCGTTGTCCTGGTGAAAGATTATTTTTTGTCTTCAAGCAAACTTTTGCATCCAGTTGGTCAAGAAGGTTGGAGTAATATTTGCCTGTAATTGTTCTCCCTTGCCAAGGAAATCAATTAACAGGATCCGTTTCACATCTCAAAACATACTGACCATGACCTTTCCGGCAGATGCGAGTTTTCGCTTTCTTTGGCATTGCACCACTGGCTTCCGCCCTGTGCTTGGCCTGCTGTTTCATTTCTGGCGTGTAGTAGTGGACCCATATCTCATCCATTGTGACAAATCACCACTCAATATCGGTTGGATACCTATTTAAATCATTCCAAAGATATTGTGAAAATTGTTTTCGTATTTGCTTTTGATCGTCATTCAGCAAATGTGGCACCCATTTTGCGCAGAGCTTTCGCATCCCGAATTCTTTGAGCAAAATGTTTTGCACACTTTTAATATTACCACAATCAGCTATTTCTCTCACCTGTCACCCAACATATCCTGACCTTTTTCAATTGTTTCTGGTGTGGTTACAGTTTTTGGCCTTTCTTCACATTGGTCACTTTCAACAGATGTGTGACCACATTTAAATTTAGCTGCTCACTTTTTTAACGATTGACACGGAAGGCACAGAGTCCCTGTAAACTTTTCTCAACTTCAAATGAATTTCTTTAGGGGTTAATCCATCCAAAGTGAAGAATTTGATAACTGCACAATATTTAAGTTTATCCATTTTCACAAATTACATGCAAGATGTCTACTGCAAAAATTCCTGTAAACAAACTACTTGAGAGAAAAAGTTGAAACTTGTCATACAAACAAATGACAAGTGCACCCAAGCAGGAAAAATGAATATTTGTTGTTTGGAGAGCAATCTCTGGGTAAGCCTGAGAACTTTCAACATCGCTTCTGTTGATTTATGCTTCCAATAACTTCATAACCCTAACGCAGGCCTGCGATGAAAAACTTTTTTTTAAAATTTTAACTGCCCCTTGTGTATTTTTGTTTGCTGAAATCGAAAATCTAACTAGAAATACTCCATCATGCACATAGAACTTTTTTTAATTTTCAAAAATTCAGAGTTCGACTAAATAAGACCAGCATCATATTTAAGCATCCTTTGCTTTACCCAAGAAAATTTGAAAAACAAAGAAATACTTGCAAATATTTATATTTTTTAGGTTCAGAATCTGGTCCAAGAGAATCATGAACTTCGGAGAGTCATACATAATGCAGGTCTTCAGTTTCCTACCTCAACATCTCCAATATCAAATGGTCATGAGACAGCAGTTGAAACAGAAACAGAACCTGTATTAGATGTGAGGTCATCGCGAACTCCTAATCAGCGCCCTGCTTCAATGTATGAACCTCGAGAGGGATTGCTTCATCGTTCTAGTAATCTTCATTGTGTTTCCTCTGGTGGAAACATAGCAACTAAGTGGGATAAGGTTAGTAGACAATGTGGGTTAAATAACATCTAAACATTCATTCCAGAAATATCAATTTGGCCTTTTTTTTAAAAAAATTGTGTATTCAATTGCTTTCAACATCTAAAGTGACAAATAAGTTAAAAAAGCATGTGAATGAATATTTGTAAACAATACATTCTATAGTTCATACTCATTAATATAATTCTCATTCTCTTCATTTTATTTCTCAGACTAAAAAGGATGGAAATGCTAGTGAATACGATAGCCCAAGTTCTTTGGTAAGACCAGTAATGACTCAGAGCATGTACCAAGGTTCTAATTCAAATGCAGAAGCTTTATCAAGAGGTTGCAACTCCAGTGCTGGCATGCCTCTCTCAGAAGAAGTGGTTCGACGCACTGATCAAGTTACAAAGCGCATCCAAGAATTGTGGGCTTCCATGCAGGAACTAGATAGACGCGATGCATTTGTTCCTTGTGCAGAAAGAATTCGGGTTGCTGTGGCAGAACTTACAGCAATATTTCCTCAGGTAAGAGAAAACATTAGTGGCTTAAAGTTATCAGTACCTCAATGCTCATTATTCTAATTTTTTCTTCTTTCTTTTGTCTCAAAAGAATCCACCTGATGAACACATTCGAATAGCCTTGCGACAACTCAACAGCAACACAGGTCGTCTTCAAACTGAATGTGCAGGGTTGCAGAGATGTATGGCAGATGTCTCTCAGATTGCTGAGAGGGCTTTCTTTCTACAACAAGTGCGCTCCTGTGCTTATGATATTGCTAAAGCAACCAAACAACTTCTTGCACGGCATTCTCATATCTTGCAGAGAGAGTAAAAACATCTTGTGAAAACTGGTCATGTAAGTAGTACTTGGTGTGCACATCAAGAGGTAGAAGTTTTTCAAGTCAAACGTGCGAACGCACCTGGATGAGTTAAAGAACAGCTGTTATTTTCAAAACTTAAAACATTTACCTTTTTATATTGTAAACTTTACAGATATTGTTTAGGTTTGTGGAGTTTTCTAAATGTTGTATTTGGTTATTGAATATACTCACTCTCTACTTTCAGAGAAGTGTATTGTTTCTTGTTATGCATGTGTATTTCCGTCATTAGTGTAATGCATATGAATTCAAATTGATTGAGACTTTGTAAGTGTTTTTGAATGTGTAATTTAACAAGCAATTCTCAGATTTCCTCTGATGTAAAAACTTCTTATACTTACAGTATTTAATAATAGGAAATCTGTGAGGGTGTGGAAAAGCAGGAGATCATTGGTGCCTTCAAAACGTATTGGCCGTTATTGAAAATTGTTTCTGGAAACAGATTGCTTGGATACAAGATGAATAACATTATATGTTGCATTTTCTATTTCCATTTGTTTATTTTATGACAACAAATATTTTTTGCAGTTTTTATATCCACACGTTTCATGAAAGAATATTTAATTCATTACTTTGAAATAAAATAAAACTAACGGTGCTCAATTCTTACTCAATTCTGTTTCCAAATTGTGATTAGACCTAAGACTGTGTTCACGCCAAGTCTAGAGATGTGTGAGTAATTCATGCTTTCAATTCTACCTCTCTCAAAGGACCTATTCTTTAAAATGGCTTCTCGCTATTGCATCTTGCAAATTATAATATTTAAGAATTGTGGATTATGTTACCTAAACCTTTGATAATTAATACAAAATTCTATTTTCAAAATAGTAATTTATGTATTATGTAAAAGTAAAAGTTAATATCCTATTTCTGAACTACATCATACATAATACTTTTGAGTACATAATTCTCATCGTGTTTTAGGAGATGCGAATTTGTAGCAGCTGAAAATAAATTTTGAGCAAATTTGGTTTACAAAACTTTTTTTTACAAAACTAGGTTTGTTTAGAAACTCGCACATCCCTAGCCAAGACTGCTGCAATATAAGTGGTGCTAGCGCAGGTTAATAGGAAATTTATTTTTTTTATAAATGCAATTCTTTGCATATGTTATTGACCATATCTGATCTACTTGTATATACAAACACTACACTCATTTTAAAGTGAGTATCTGTCATCAGATATTTCAAATTTGTTATGCCCACTGCACATCAAGATGTTTTGGGTAAAAGTGCTCATTTTACAGTGGTAGAAGTATAACATATCAGTTATTGAGACCATCACAGAAATTATTGTTTTACAGATGAATTTTACTGTATATTCCATTAGTGAATTATATTTTGTAAGCACTATAACTCACATAGTGTATATTCCTTTATGGGAAATTTCATTTGTCCTGAATGTATCCACTTTAGAAAATATTCTAGTTTTATATAAACTTAACTGAATGTATTTGAGAAGTAAGATGAATTCTCATACATTTTACTCCAGTAAGTCAAATTTGTATTTTCCTGTTATTATCAGTTTTGTTTATTGTTATGCATCATTGTTTTCACTAAGAAGTTTTTCAGTTTTCATGATTTCATTTACAATACAGAAATTATGAAAGCTGAAACTCTGTATGTTAGATCAAACCTTAAGCAAGTATTGTTTACTTGTGGAAAGATTCTTTCAGTTCACAAGCAGGTCTGTTTTAAATATTATATATGAAACATTCACAAATAAATGAATATTTTTACAGCAATTCATGTGGAATTGCACTTCATTTTCTTAAAGAGTATCATTTTGCTGTATGAATTTTGAAATCTTTTGTAGTAATTATAAAAGCTTTAAATGTTTACATTACTGCTACAATATTGTACTAATTTAGTGAAAAGAAAGAACTTACAGTGTAATTTTAAACTTTGGCAATGTGTCGATTTCTTAAGTAACTATTCAAGTATTACACCTTTGTTTTTTTAAACATTTGTGTTTTCAAATTTGCATAAATTTGTTTATTTAAAATATACTTTTAAATTAGTATGAATTATTATGAATCGATGCCATTAAAATTTGTATTAGCCTCTTTTCCTTCTTACTAGATGTTTGGGCTAATATATTCCCGTAGAAGCTGCTGATTTTGGCTGTTATTTATAATTAAAAATTTCTACATTAAGTTTCATTAGAGCTGTTGCTATAGTTGAAAATAGAATGCATGATTATTAGACCCAAATTACTTTATTTGTTCTGAGTAGTTTAGAAAATATTTTAGTTTTGAAGTCGAAATATATAAAAATATTCACACATGCCTAGAAGTATACTACAACCACAAATCTATTTTTTATAAATGAAAACTTCTAGATCATTGAACATGTTGCAGTTCTATATAGGTCAGTTTATTTTTGGATGATTTAAGATAAAACATTATTCTATAAAGTAGTAGTAACATACAACATACATGTGTTTTTACTACCTAAGAGCATAAACACATTTGTTATTTCCTGTTCAAAAAACATCTAAAATGAAGTTATAATTTTCTTTTTCCCTGAAACAGGCTTGTTTCAAAAATTGTTAATTATAATATTAGGAATCTGTATTGCATTTGAAGACTTCAATTGCTGCATTAATTGTTGGGTGCATCTTGCAAATAGATGTATTATAGAAATATTTGCTGTTATGGTGACATTTAATTCTTGATGTGATGAAAAAATTTATCTCATTTTAGATGTTGAAATTAGACAGCTATAAATTCCAGTTACTGAAAGTATAAGAGTCTTCGATAAAGTGTTAAATAAAATATTAATTAACGAATTGTTGAGAATCAGATTGTGATATTTGGCACATGTACGATTCCCTGTTCTCAGATAGCTTTACAATTCTAAACACAAACCCAAATTTTTTGTTATAAGTTAGCTGAGACCAGAGTAAAAGCATTTGAAACATATACCACATTTTGAAGTATTAAAACAAATGTAATCCAAATGTCAGGTTACAATATGAGATATGTATGGTAGTTGTTGGTATTGTACAATGCAATTAACAATTAGATTTTTTACCATAGATTCAATTATGTAAATATATGCATGTGCATTAAAATAGTTTTCTTTGTAGCAAAAATTTCTATAGGTATCTCAAACTTTGTAGTTGTGTCATTAAGGCAGCTATGACTTTTCATTAATTTTAAGAAAATGTTGCCATTTGCTGTATGAAATTAGAAATTTAAGTACATCTTAATTTGTGTGAATGTCATTAACAAATACAAATTACCACAGTAATTATCTAATAGTGAAGTATGTAAATATATATATTGTGTTGTTTGTTGTTTTATAGTGTAAGTTGATATTCTGCCTTTCTGTCATGTTTTGCCTCAGATTGTAAATAGTGTCCTTTCCAGTTTGTAGGGTTAAATATTATGAATTTAACCACAAGTTTGGTGTAGCATTCTTTGTAATTTGAATGCAAAAAGACTGAAATGATACTGTAGTTCTGGTTGCTCAATTCTTTTCTTGTTTCCATTTTCAACATTTATGGTGTGTTAAAAGGCTTAATCTGACTTATAATTCAGAAGGAGCCTCTGATTAATTTAATAAATATAATGCTTGATTTAATTTTTTCCCCTTTATTGATACAAAGATTGTTATTCACAGAGGTTAGGTTAAGTCAGATTATATTAAAAACTCGCCTCTGTAGAAAGTATTCATTGTACTGAATTTTACATAATTATGTTATTCAGTATATTTCTTTTGTTGCAATTATATTCTTCATAACAGATAACTGTATAGCTTTATGAACACTTACCCTTTCTATCCATTAGCAGTATTCCTTTGTATCCCTAAATGTGCATGCCACTTAAATTAGTATCTTATAAAATAAAAATTTTATGTATGCATGGATCGTGATAAATTACAGTAGCTATTTTATTTCATGGAAATTTAAATTATAACGATGGAGGTTGTGTGTTTATGATATTCAGTTCTTCTTGCTCATTTCGATCTCTCAATCCACCCAATACATTCACTAAGAAGTTATTAAATTCCACTCTTAATCGATTTCCATTTTCTTCAACATTTGTTGCCACCTGCATAACTCTAGAAAATGTACTTGCTGGAAAGAGAAATTCAAAGTTAATTTGGACAGGCAAGAGGTAAGTTAACTTGAGTTTGAGTAGATTGAATTATGATTGATTATGAAAGAAAACAATGAACTGAAAGAGTTGAACTGCATCTAGCACACTCTCTCCCTTCTCAAATAAAGTTAAATATTTAAATGAGACAGGTTTAAATATAAATATTAGTTCAATAGTAGTATAATTTGATTTTTAACAATACTTATTCTCTTTAGCAACACAAAGAATACTTTTAGGTTGGAAGGCTAAATCATCTTTCAATCACAGAAACTACTGTATCAGTCCATGGATCTGTTTTTCATTTTTAATTATCCTATAATTAATTTTATAAGGAAATGAACAGCAATTGAATTTCTTATTAAAGAAGGGTCTGTAGGTTATAAGACATTTCTTTCTATGTGCTATCCAATCTTAAGTATTTTGAAGACAGGTGCTGAATATTTGTGAAAACAGCATTTAGCATTAAAACAGATTATCACTCGAAATACGTTTTCAAAAATTAAAAAATTTCATACTGGTAAGTAGAATGGGTAAGTTATGTTATAAGTTCTTGGGAAACATAGAGCTCAATGAGAATTTCCGAGGCTGTAGATATTCAACATTTGTTTAAGTAAATATCTTAAGAATTCACTGACATCTGACCTATTCTGATATCAGATCTGTAAAAAAAAATGTTAAGCCCACAAAAATTTGGAAGAGATTGATATCTCATTAAAATGTTTCAGGAGCCTACGCATTCAGACAGAATCAATATTCTTCATAAATATTTTTAAATTGGAAACTATTAGATCTTCTAGAAAATAATAATTATTAAGCTTACACAATTTTGCAGCAGGTTTTCCATCTTTTTCACTTTTGCTGACAGCTAAGACAAGACTGTGTTTAGATGTTAAATCTGTCTGAGTAACATAGTAATTGTACAGCAGTTCCAGTTCTCTTGCATGATCTGCTACAATTGGATTGTAAACAAACACTACACCTTGAGTATCACGTTGAAATGCTGGCCAACATGTTTCGAATCTGCACAAGTTCATGAAAACATATAATAAAACAGAACTAAACAATGTACATAAATACATACAATCCCTACATACTTGTGATCACCACTACAGTCCCATAATTCAATTTCTGCTTTCACATGCTTGTTATTTACATTCAGACTCTGTACTTCAAATTCTAATATTCGGACGCCTTGTGTAGGATGATAATCTCCTCCCAAATTTTCTGTGGCATCTGACAGAAAATTCGCGACTGTTGTCTTTCCGCACTGAAAACGACACATTACAGTAAGCTAAGGAAACTGTACAACATTCTTCTAGAAATGGAGCACGCAGAATAGTTATGGATAAGACTAGCTTACAGCACATGGTCCAACCAACAGAATTTTTAATTTGTGCATTTCCTTAGACATTTGGAAAGAATATTTTACCACTTGCTAGTGGTACTAGTATTTGTTTACATATGGGGGGATGTATTTCCATGGTAACCGCATAGTGTAGCGCCAAGCAAATTACGAATTCTCTCATTGGCTACCTCCAGAGAGTATATAATACCTCGCGATACCTCTCAGAATCACGATCGACCACAATCGACCCTGGCTTAAACGTGTTGAATCAGACCTGATCAGACCATGATGAATTTCATTCGATTGCGATTGAATGAGAGTAAAGCAGAGTAAAGAGAACTGAAAGAGAATATGATCAGGATCAGAACAGCTGAGATTGGCTGAGATCCTGGCAGATCCTGAACATCTCTTTTCAATTCCAAGTGAGATAAAGAAAGCATTATTAAAGACGGTCAGTGATGTTCTCTGGATCGCGGACTCTTTTAAGCATGTGATGACTAATTATCACTGCCGGTGACTAAGAAATCATTCATTGGCGAACATTGAATTAATTAATCATTCGATACTTCCATGGTGTATACAATGCGACAAACTTGTCTCTCGATGTGGTTTACTCCTGGTTGGTCTCTTAATAGGCCGATGGTAATCGAATTACTATATTGTCTTTGAGAGACAGTTTATTTCCTATAATACCTCTTTCAACCTTACATTGTGGTGTAGTGTCTCAATATTCCTGACATGGATGTAACTTTGTGAATAATACGATATGAATCGTAAACACCAAATCACTGCATTAAACAGATGCAAAGTGAACAACAAGCTGGTGTTTTGACAATTTCTTCATAGTTGGAAAAAATTTTAAGGTAACAATGGAAAAGCCAAGGCCTTGTGGTTGTAAAGGAATTCGGACCTGTCTAATTTGTGAACATGACTTTGGAATTACTAAGCAGAACTTTATATTGGAAAAGGTAAAGTGTCTTTGCATTAATACTATTTAAAGATTTGTAGCATGGCCCCAAATTCTACAATTCAAGTGGCACGGGGGAAAAAACTCAATAAATCTGTCTTGTCTAGTAGAAGTGTCTTGAAAAAAATGTTTCTATTGTGACCCAAACTTGGTTCTTCTGCAGGATGCAAAAACCTATGTGTTATGCCCACTTTGTAATAAAGCATGGCCAGGTTGGGATCTTGATTTGTATAAACAACACCCAAACCATGAAGGGACACCCATAAACTTTCCAGGAGTATACATTGAGGTATATAAACGTTAGATTGAATGTTCTCTTAATTAAGTACAGATTTTACTTTTATCAAAGATTAATTTTTTTTTATGATATTGTAATTTTCAGTTGGATTTCTTGACCATTGAAGAGGAGAAGAAACTTATGGAAGGAATTGATGAAATGGAGTGGGATCCGTCACAAAGTGGAAGAAGGAAGCAGGTGAAAATTTATTTAATGATCTTTCCTGTTTTTTATCATTGTTGTATTCTAATATAATGTATTTATATTTACAGAATTTTGGGCCCAAGTGTAATTTTAAAAAGCAGCGCTTAAAACTCGGAGAATTCAAAGGCTTCCCTTTATTCTCCAAGTTTGTTCAAGAAAAATTCACACAAGTACCAATTTTAAAACAATTTCACACTATAGAGCAGTGCTCACTAGAATATGATCCTTCTCGAGGGGCTTCTATTGACCCTCATATTGATGATTGCTGGATATGGGGAGAACGTGTTGTTACTGTAAATTTATTATCAAGTTCTACTTTGACAATGACCCGTTACTTGGGGAATATGGACAAGTATAATTTAAAATGTGTTCCTGAGTATCCACGAATATTGAATGATGATGGGAGAGTCATTTACCAACCATTCCTGAAATCGTGTAGTGATAGAGAAATTGTTACTTTCAATGCAGATAGAAAGTTGGAAGGAGACTATTCAGAATATGAAGGTGTCTGTAGTCCAATTGTGAGAATTCCTATGCCTCGTAGATCGTTATTAGTCATATATGGTGCTGCTAGATATGATTGGGAACATCGTGTACTGCGAGAAGATATAAAAGAAAGGCGTGTTTGTTTAGCATATCGTGAATTTACACCACCTTACCTGGATGGAGAACATGTTGATATTGGACATGAAATCCTAAAATATGCTAAGAAATTTTGGTGTCATTTACAAGGTTGAGAATAGGCTTTGTCATAGTAGAATATTTATTGAATTTTTAATTGAAGTTTATAAATTGATATTTTAATTATTTACTTGTTTGGAATGTAAATGAGGGTTATTTTTAATATTAAGAATACATTTACAAATGTTTCTGTGTAGTAATAGTGATATATTTTATTTTATCCATCATAGATATGCGTTTTTTTTTTTTTTATCATCTATGTTTCGCTTTTGATCAATGCAATTTTATCTTTCTTTTAATGGTAATTATTTTGGAATTGCATGCCTTAATAGCAGGTTATATAGTTGTTCATCTATTTTGTAAATATCATAGAACAGTGAAAGTGTTGTTACTGGATATTAAGGTAATTTTTAAAATAATTGTACTTTTCCTTTTCTATTAAGTAAAGGCAATCTTATTCATAAAGGTTAACTTAGTGTTTTTCTTTTTTGTTTGTAAAAAGCACCTGTTATTGAATAAAGCCATTTGCAAATTTTTGAGATAGGAATTTTGCATAAATATTTATATACTTATTGCAATAGTAATTTTGAAAATATTTTGTATACAATTTCTGTACATATTTTGGATATTAACTATGGAAATATTTTGCAGTACATTCTAACACTCAAGTTGTAAGATCATGACATTCATTTAAGACATGAATGTGGTAACTTGTTTAAATTAGACTTAAATGACAAATTAGTCTGCTAATTAAGAAACTCTAAAACATTATAGAATTTTTTTTTTAATATACGGTCTTCAATCTTTAATGTGTTAGGTGTCATATTTTAACAATTAAAATCTAGCTATTTTGTGCAGAATTTCAACAACAAATGAGAACCTTTTAAAAAGGATTGTGAATTTTAAAATGTTTGTCTAGCCTATATTTGACTGAGGAGGGAGAGGTAGAATGGTGTTTGGAAAAATTACCATAATTTCTGGAATTGAGAGTTTTAAGATTAGAACAAACTAGGCCCATGACTGTTCTGAACTTGTAAAATATGAAAAGAAATGTTCCACAATAATAATTGCTCTCAGTCATGTTGGGAAGAAAAACAAAATTCCAACCCCAAAGGGTTAAATATGCCAAATCATTTGTTAAAAAAATTGGGTTTTTTGTAAAATCCACAACCTCATCCCACTTCTGCTGAGAGTTGACTTTTTGCAGTACCTGTGTATGGCTTTGAAATGTCTAAAACGTACTGAGAAACATCTGAAAGAAATTTGCAGGATTTCTATCTATGGTTCCATGTTTACATTCTGGTGTCAAAATTTTTGGATGGGAATGTAAGAATGAGTAATGAGAACAAATTCATTTTTTCACAAACTAATTTTGAAATTCTTTGTGTTAATTTCAATCAGGTTTCATAAACACAATTAAATTAGACGTTCTATAGAATGACATAGACTTTCTCATATTAGTTTTCTATTTCCTTTTGTTTTGGCTAACTTTTCGGTTTTGCCCCATCTCCTTCCCAGCTGTTGTATATCGCTGCCTAATGTACATTTTCTATATTTTCTGTTTTCAATCAGTAGATCTGAAATATAACTTTGAGAATATTATGAAAGAGTAAAACCTCATCCTACATGAAAATTTTAGTTGAAAAATTGGGGAACCATATTTGAGAGAACTTTTAAACATTTTTGTAAATGCTAAATTTGAAGCTTCATTTCACGGAAAGCATATCCAAAATCATTTGAAGCACATTCTCTAATAAATGCAATATCGTATAGAAATAATTGGTTATGTAAACATTAAAAACTTCAGATATTTCCAAAAAATTACATGTGTGTATTTTTTTTAAAAGGCAAAAAATATGTCAAAATGTTGTATATGTCATGTTATTGGATTGAATTGAATTGAATTGAATTGAATTGAATTTGCCTTATTTTACGTGGCGAGACTCGGGCCATCAGGCCCGCTCTTCCGTCTGACCACGCAAATTTCGCTCCGCTCCTTTCACCAACTAGGAGAGAAAGGAGGTATTTCTTGGGCGAGAAACAGGCGATTTGAATTTAGCTCAGAGGCGTCATTTAGGCTTGAGGATCTTTTACATGCAAGTAAATCTACTAACATGGGACAGCCGGCTTTACTTCCCCTCCGAAGGAAGGCGTACGAAGGATTTTTTCGCCCTTAAAAATCCACGGCTTTGATCGGGTTTGTACCTGCCAACTTACCCGCCATGTTATGCAGTCCAATTAGTTCTGTGCATTCAAAAGAATTGAAAGAATAAATTTGGAGTCGTTTTTGAAGAAATGGCAATTGAGTGTTTCTTAAAATGCACATTTTTGAATTCTTTTCACCCAAAAATTTGAGTTTTCAAGAAACTTTATATAACATAATTCAAAGTACGTGTACTCATAAGTGAATGGTTTATTTCATAAACAAAATGAGACAATTTTTTGCTACTTTCACTTCTTATTTCAGTCACATTCTCTGTAACTATATACTTTGTTTGAGGCAGATGCAGCACAAGTAAAACAATTCTGGACGGTTTTTGGAATAAACCTCCTACAGATGTGACTCACTGTATGCAGTATATAGTCGCAGACAGAGTTTTGTTTGTTAAAACTGAAAAGTTACTTTTCACTGACAAGTTGTTTCTGAAATAAACCATTCAAGTGCAATAATGTGAAAAAATTGCTGCTAATGTTAATATTAACAATGTGAGAAAAAATTAAAAAAAAGAAAATCATATTTGTAATAAAAAGAAAACAAATACAGCATAATGAAGTTCATACCATCTTACATCATAACTAGTGCTTCAACAGCACATACTTTTTTGCATTTTTAGTAACTGTATTATTTCCAGCACATCATATAAACAAGCAAGAATAATTTCACAAATAAAATGAACATTCAGAACTAAAGGCGATCCAATTTATTATGTTATGAATGCTTTCATTGGAACGGTATCATTACCTTATGCATGTCTATATCAGTAGCAGCTTCTTGGTGTAAGCAAGGTGGGCACTGCCTACCCTGATGAATATGTACAAAGTAAATATATTTCATAATAAAAAAATTAAATTACTTGTACAATTTTAATATAGTGTATTATTCATCTGGAAATGTCTAAGAACATTTCATTATCGTGATTCGAGCCATATTTCATTTCAAGTGTTTTCTAACAACCTCTTCTCCTGGGGAATGGCGCTCTAGCGACCGTAGAACAGTATGCTGTGCTTCATACTTGACACATGGGTGTTGTGCGTAGGCCAGTGATTTCTCGTGTTGCCTACCCGCATGGAAAACTAAGATTTCCACTGACTTGAAAGCCACATAGCTTACAGTTGTGTTGAGTCAACAAGCAGAGAAAGTTATTATTATTTAGGAAGTATTTATTTTTTCATTTTAATATTGTTTGCAGCAGATTATTAGTGTTACTTTTATATATATGTATATCCAATTTTCATGTTAATACAGTATTTTGACATACAGTGAACAAACTACTACGGATGTTTTCTCATTCTAACCATTTAGAAAAGAGAGAAATTTGAACAGTGGCATACCTACTCCCATGTTGAGTATGTTTGTACATTTTGCAGTTGTACATTGAATACAATTACTGAATTATATTCAGAGCAACGCAAACTTGCAACAGTTTTTTAGAATCTGAATATCTTGACATCACATCTGCACTTGCTTTATGTAAATAATGCTTTGAAATGTAATGATAACAGTAAGACAATTGTTTTGAATAAATGGAATAAAATAACAAAAATATTGGATTGGGGTGGGCATGGCCTCCATGCACCTTTCCCGAGATCAGCCGCTGTACAGTAATGTTTTGCCTTCCCTGAACATCTGCCACACACACAACAGACACAGACAGACACAAAATCTTCATAATAATTGTAGTTCTAGGAAGTCATCGAAAAAATTAAATTTTTGCAATTTGCAAAGAATTGCAGGTTTACTGAAAGTGCATCATTCTCTTAAGCATCCTTTAAGTTCTGAGGTCAAAATTTGGACCAAACATGCCACATTTTTTTTATGAGAAAAAGGTTGTTTAAACAAAATTTAAAAATCATGCAAAATTAAGAGAAAATTATTCAATTTTTCGAAAACTTTAACATGACTTATTTCACATTGATCTGTCTTTACAGAATAGATTTCATTAAGGGAAACATGTGTATCTCCAATGCTTTAGTTGTAGGAAGAAATGAAACTTTTGCAATTTTTCGAAAAATCGGGGACTTCAACGAAAAATAGGCCTGTGCCATTCTCTTGTACGTCCTTCACACTAACAAAAAATTGGATCAATTTTTTTGAAAATGTCCCAGAGGCTCCATGTAAATTGCCCTCAATATTAAAATATCAATTTCAAATTCAAGGGGCCGCAACATCATCCAGATCAATGGGGGAAGATCAATTTTTGTGAAAACGCTTACGGTTTAGCCGTTAGCTGGGTAAACAGATGGGCGGACAGACGTTTTGCCGTCAAGAAATGTATCTTGATCAAGGGCCCACAAAACAGATTCTTACTACTCGACGTGCACGTGTAGTCTTGCATCGTCCTTTCACATGTTACAGGCTCTAATATATATATATATATATATATATATATATATATATATATATTAAGAGAGAATTATAATTATATATATTAAGAGAGACAGACACTTGGCAGCCGCAGAGAGAGAAACAATGGGAGTCTCATGGAGAGACAGATAAAGAAACAACGCCGGGTATTTTGCTTGTTTATTATATTTAAATAGGGAGAAGATTTACTTTTTTCGTTGCCAGGGTCTGGCTATATGAGTTTTTGTGTCGAAAATTCGCCGTATTTCCCGCAGCATAACATTACTTTATACTAAGTGGTAGCGAGAAAGTAAAACGGGATGTATCCTAATTTATCTTAATATAACTTAAAAACCATCCATTTTTTGAAAATATTAACCCGATATAAAATGAAAGAGGATGAAAATTCCTACATTATTACTTTCTTCTAGGATCATTTAGGACGGACTTTTTCGGTGTCTGGGGACCCCCGTCACGTGTATTTACGTTGAAATCTCGAAATTGATTTTCGAGAGTATTACACAACTTGCTACGTATATTACGCTTAATACTTATAAGAAAGTAAAACAACTTTCTTATTGTTAAGGGCCCCAAAACGTGTTTTTCCGTTAAAATCTCGAAATCGATTTTCCGTAGCATTACATAACATACGTATATTATTATACATCTTAGTATAATAGTCTGTAGTAGTGCATTAATATACTCAACATGGATTTATATATGAAATTCGTAATAGCCACTTCATTCTACTTTTATGAAACCGAATAATTGATAACAAGAAAGTACGTGTTTTTTTATAAAATACAATTTCCAAAATATAACTTTTTCATGCGTGTACAATGGTTGGAGGTTAAAAAGGCCACTTCACAAATGTACAAACTACATAAATGTCCAATCTCCAAAGTAAACTAAGTCCAATTTATTATATGTCCATAAATTTAAAAAAAATAAAATAAAAAAAAAAAAAACGTCCGTCACACAAGTTCTTAGTACAAGTCAATCACAGTACAAAAATGTCCGTCAAAAAAGTTCTTTGTGCTACGCTTCTCACAAAATTAAGTTTTAAATTATATGACACCACTAACTTACTTAGACTTTAACGTTATTGTTTGTATATACTTGTTTATATTCCAGTCCCGTGGAATCCATCTTAACGAGAGTTTACTGTATATACTTTTTCTTTTGAGATATAATAACTTTAGTCATTTCACTACTGAACTAGCAGAAATTTTTGAATCATTACTACTGAAAAAATTGGTACTTCTAATAGTAACTTAGTTTGCATTGTTGCTATGAAAAGGAGTGACGTCAAATTCATTCAAATACATAGATTCAATGCTACAAATCACATTAAAGACCGCATATGGAGAAATTTATTACATTTTAGAAAAGACAGTAACTTTTAATTATATTATTAGTTTCATAAACTTTTTCTTAGGTTGCATAACCGCAACACATTTAAAAGTAGTGCGGGAAGTGATTCAGGCACGTGAGGCAGTGGCTTCGAGCACGGAACACTAAGGAGTGAGTTCGAAACCCAATTCAATAGCGAGTGTGGCCATAGGAGGCATTGCGAGTCCAGTCTGTATCCTTCCCTGGGTGCCGTCGAACACGCCGTCAAGAGTGCATCTGGCAGAGGGGTTTCCCAGCCCCCGAAACAATCGGGTATGACATCTCGGAGGGCCGCTCTGATTCGCCGCTAACGATTAAGCGTCACCAGCACTACAAGGACGCAGCCAAGGCGAAAGGATGGCAAGTACTCCGAGAGAACCAAACAGTTTCCCGGAATCTGCGCCCTGACCTGATATTGGCAAGGGGCCACGCGCCGTAATGATAGTCAGCAGTGCCCATCGTAGACAACAGCAGTTCGCAGAGGTGTGCGAGTACCAGACGGTAGAATACGCGCCCACGTGAACTGTGTTTCTTGCGTCCGGCAAGAACAGGTCTGAAGCACTCCCACTAGTGGTTGGCACGCTCGACGAATTGTGCCAAGGCAATGGCGCCGCGCTCCGGAAGGTTATTATCAGAAAGCACACTTCGCGAAGCCAATGCCGAGGAAGCGATATCCGGAAACGCAACATTTACTTCGAACAAATTGCCTTCAGGGGCGGAGGGGAAATTAAAAATGTTTTGGTTGAATGTGTCATTACATATTTTGAAAATGTCGAAGGCTACACTCAACTCAAGGTGCGATACGAATTTATTCGTTTTAATGATTATCCGAAAATATTTTTGCTTGGAAGTTTCGTGACAAGATAAAATTAATAGTTACTGAACAATTTTAGGGAGGGGGAATTTCCGTCGTTTCCCTCCCCGTGAATCTGCGCCTTTGCCTTGGAATTCCTGTTGCCCTGGAGCACCAGTTGTCCCGAGAATACTCAAGCGGAAAGCAATAAATTGAATGTGCTTTTGTCTCCTTCTTCTGCGCCACCCCCGTCATAGGAGAATACGCTATATAAAGAATAGCGAAGAGTTGAATCTCGCAATATACACAATGTTCCCACCCTCAGCCAATACAAAATGTGTAAATAGTATTCTCCATATCCCTTCCCTTGTCCAATTAGTGAGTGCCAGTTTATATTGAATAGTGTTAGTAGTTATATATATATATATATATATATATATATATATATATATATATATATATATCGTAATTAAATATATCTTCAGTATTATAGTTGTAGGAAGATGCCCCCCCCCAAAAAAATTGCATTTTTGCAATTTAAAAAAAAATCTGAAGTTTCAGCGATAATGAGACATGTACCATTCTCTTGCGGTGCTGCTTGTGGTGCCATTTTTGATTAAAAAATATTGAAAGTGTTTGAGGCTTCACGTAAAGTACCCTCAAAAATCAAAATATCCGTTTGAAACTCCCTAAGCCTCGAGTTCATTCAGATCGATTGTGGAATGTCAAATTTGAAGAAAATCGACTGAATAGTTTTGGCGCTATCGTTGACCGCAGACACAATCGATTTTTCGGTAAGCCCCCACATAAAATGAATTATGATTACATCACGTGTTAGACGATTTTTTCCGTAATTTAGCAACAGAATTTATTCATTTTTTCGTTACTGGAGCCCGGCAATAAGAGATTTTCTGCCAAAAGTTCACCGCACGATTACATAACTTTCTCTTCTTACGAAGTACTTCGAATGGCGAGAAACTAAAATCGCCTCTCCGTGTGTGATTTACGATGAAAGGTGAAGGTAATGCACCAGGGTATCAGGATCATCTCGGGCGGGGGATAAGGTACTTGATAAAGACAGTACAAATCACGTTCGTGTGGTTTGAACACATAGACAGTGCTACCATTTCCTATTTTAACTTCTACAAAAATGTGATTATGAGAATTTCTTTGTCCATGAATATCGAAAACGTAAAAACCTCGAGCACAAATCATCAATGCATTTGGCTTCAATACATTGAATTTTATACAGAAACATCAATGTTTTGCAATCATCTGTATCGATGATCACATCCGTACACTACAACTGATTAGCGCGGAATATTCCCTTTTATGCGTAGAAAAACCGATAGAGGGCGCGCGCTGGTTTCCCATATGGAGAACACATGCACTTTCCAAGAATCCAGTTTCCTCGCGCAAAATTTTAAGTAGTTTAAAGGCAAAAGTTCGAGTGGCTTGTCAGCTCTTTGTGGCTCAAATGCAGGCGGGTACCGCTGAACTTCTACTTATCACCGCGAGATGTCTCTTAGAGCGGTCTTGGCGGCGAGCGGTGGCGCTGTAGTGCGGCGGGCGTAAGCAACCCGTGCGAAGCGCGGAGACG